GCATTTTCACAATTAACAGCTAATGAAGTTTCATGACAAGATCGCACTAACGTTTTTATGGTGTAACCAAGGAAGTTTTCTGGCCAATAGCACTTTATACTTGTAGTATTTTGTCATTAAAAGTTTTCTGAATTCTTTCACACTCGAGCCGGTCTTCAGGTCTACGGGTCTTAAAGTCCGCGTGTCTTTCTTTTCTTTTTGTATTTTGTTGAGAAATTTGTGTTATTAAGAAATTAAGAGCCGCTTCGCATGCTTTTCTTTTCTTTTGGCTCGTTTCTCTCCGCCGGATCTTGGCTAACAAGTAAATGTGTTTGCACCCGGCTTCCCTCCTTACTCTTTTTGGCCATTAGCTGTCGCACTCAGTGTCTGTCTGTCTGTCTGTGTCTCTACCGCTGACTCGCTGGCTCAAATTAGTTGGCTAAAAACAATGAGAAATCCGTATTCAGGGCAGTTCCTTCAATGGCCGCAACACTTTGGCATTCGACAACGGACGCCGAACAGCGGCTTTTGTGTAATATCTAAAGCAAAAACAGCAAATGGCTCAAAGTCTTGTAGCTGGCTTCCCCCACAACTATCCCGCAACTATCTGCTGATCCGGCCATGGCGGACGTGTTGCGCATGCGCCCGAGGGCACAAAACACAAGTCTTGGAGCCGGAGTCGGAGTCGGAGTGTGTGTACAATTTATATGCCAAGTGGGCTGAGAGTGAAAATGTCATTGGCAGATGTGTCGCGGATATTAGCAGTGGATCCAGCCACCCCTGGGCACTGAGAGAAAACTTTTTCGCTAAAGCTTTTTTAAAAGCCAGTAACTTTATATTTGATTAACTGACACCTTTTTTTTCACCGTGTCCCATTGAATCTCCCACTTCCTCTGGCCATCCCCTATCCAGCCACACACACAAAAGACCCGCACTTGACTGAATAATTTGTTTATGCAAACGCAACTTGGCGAATATCAAAAGTTACTATTTAAAGTGCGGGACCAGCCCCGTCCCCGCCCTCCTTGCATACATTTTTTACAAGCTTGTTGCTCGTGTGTTGCTGTCGTCGTACCCCAGTGAACACACATGTTTCTGATTGCAGCTTCTGGTGCATGTTCTGCCCCCGTGGTTGTAGGCTACTTTTTAGCTGTAATTATGATGAGCTGCGGCCGTTTAGCTCACAAGTTAATTACCCAGTTTCATCTCATTCAATGGGACAGGCCGGCCACTTTCGACACTTTCAATGAGGGGCTGGGCATCTGCCGCAGCTGCTGCAGATGTTGCTGTTGCATTTCCCAAGCTGTCTATTTTTGGTGCTTAAGGCCCTCAAGCGAAAAGCGCCATTAAATCGATTTTACATTAAAAATATTGCACAAGCCATCATTGCTGCTGCTGCTGATGCTGCTGCCAGAATTAATGGATCATAATTATTGCTGAGCGGCTGGCAGGCAGCAATCATGCCCAGGCGCAGGCCCAGACCAGGCCCAGTAGCAACATCGCCACCAGTAGCCGTTGCTGCAGCATTAGAAAAGAAAACAAGAAACCAGAAAGCAGACAATTGAAGTCCGATCGCGAGGCAGATGAACAGTGAGCAGTGGAATTACTCGAGAGGAAAAGTTTTCGATTCGTATTTAGGTTGCAAGGTGGATGGGGGAGAATCTCAAGCAGCGATTGTGGGATTCCCACTCTCTGTCGGCAGAAGGTTAGAAGTAATGTTTCCACAGCCCCCAGATTCCAATCTCCAGTACCACTATTTAACCGGCCTCTTAAAGAGAGAGAACTTTTCTTTTCTTTTAACTGTTGCTGTTGGCTGATGTTGCTGATGATGTTGCTGTTGGAGTTGGAGTTTTCCAAGAGAAATTTATGGCATAGTTTGATGGACGATCATGCGTGGCTATGTCTTTGGACAAAAAGTCACTGTAGCTCTGGCCAGCGATTTGTTCTGGCTGCAGTGTTCACCTCCCTGGAAAGTCTCCCCGAGATCAAAGAAAGCCAACTGCGCTGATGGCCATCTGTTTCTGGCTTTTTTTTTCTGCTTTTGTTTTTATGTTGACTTGACGTCATTTTGCGGCAAGTGAAAATGTGTGCGATGCGGTGCGGTGCTGACAAAACCCGTTTTCAGGTTTCGGTCTCGGTTTCGGCAGAGCTTGTGAGATGTTTATGTTTTCAACAACAAGCGCACCAACAACAGCCATACAACATAAGCAACAGCAGCCGAGGCAGCAGCAGCAACACAACATTTGTTCGCCTTTTTTTTCGGCTCAATGTTAAGACGAGATGTTAAAAACGTGATTTCCATGCGTCGCCAGCGTTGTCGTTGTTGTCGTTGTCGGCATATTTAAATAAAATACTTTTACTATCAACGAAAACTAGTCAGCAAGCCAGCCAACCAGCCAGCAGCTGAAAACGGCAGCAACAACCACAAACAGCTCGTTATATTGCTGATCAAAAATTATAGTGCAACGACGGCGCCAGCAGTTTGCAGCTAGTAGTTGCACTTCCAATGGATGTTGCAGTTGCTGGTTGCTAGTTGCTTGTTGCATACGCAATGCGCCACGCAGGGGCCACTGACCAAGGCACCACCCAAAACCACCACTAATGGTGCCACTGAACCCACTCAGCCAACCAAACTGGCCCCCAAACTATGGCAAAACTAGAGCTTCTTAAGATATATAAAGTAAAATCGAAAATACGAGGGCGGGTGGCGGCCAACTTGACCCTCTAATCCGCCAACAAACTATTTTTGGCCCAATACCTAACGGTTATTTTTGATATTGCCACTGCCACTTATGCAACACGGAGCAATTTATCAATTTTTTTCCCCCTGGCACTCTGTTGCTATTCATAATTTGCATCACATAACCAAATGGAACGCCCCGCTCGGCTTAATAATAGTCAAATAAATAAATAAAATATGCGTTAATTGTATGGAAATGTATTTAGCCAGTGTCCGAACATTTCTTTTGGCCCTTTCTTTCGGCCCGACTGTCTTTATTTTTGTGTCATTGTCTTTTCGGGCCGGCGCGTAGTATTATTGGGAATTATACAATATTAGCGGTCTGCGAAAAAAAAAAATAAAGGTATTTTTGATCTGTGAATCACAATAAAGCTGTTACATTTGCTGTCTTCGGGGTGTCGAGGGCGTGTGGCTGTATAATAAGCTTATGTCGGGGATTTGGAAGAGGAATTCTGAGGGGAGATTACAAGTACTGGTTGTTCCAAGGCCTTATCTATGTTGTTGCCACAAGATTACAAGATCGGTAACCATGAGATAGCAGCTTGTGTGCAAACAAGCTGTAATTGTCCGCCTAGCCGCGTGTTCTAGCTTCACGTTAGATCTCCTTTTAATTAACTCTTATGTGATGTCATCGTCCAGATATGCAAATCTATGCTAATGCAACCGTTTGAGGCTTTTGTCTTGGCCAAATTGGCAACAGACCTGCCTCATCTTACCCAACAGGCGAGCGAGCGAACGGAAGTGATTAAGAAAGGCGAAAAAAAGTGGTCTCTTTCTTTCTCTATCTCTCTGCCTCTATCTTTCCATACAAAGAAAGTGAAGAAGAAGAGCTGGCCATTATCAAATGTGCGGCGAGGGGGAGGGGAGGGGATAAACTAGACAAAAGGCCTGCTTATGCAAATGTTAACTAGCCAGCTACAGCTGCCGCCGCAGATACATCTGCAACTCTGAAGATACAGATACATGCAGCAACAGCTGTTTTGTCTAGCTAGTAGCTACATAGCTGTGATGTAAGTCAGACCCAAAAAAAAAAAATGCTTTCCCCCCCCGCCCTACTGCCGCTCTTAATTTATGCAAATGCGACAACATTTCTTCGACGGCTCCGGGCTTTCTTCAGATGCCATATGAACATCTTTAAAAGCATACTCGTATATGTAATGCAGAAACAATAAAGATTTTGGCAACAGCGTGAACTGGGGGTGGCCAAGCCGAACTGAATCCGCGAAAAGCGAAAAGCTTTTATATTAAAATACAAAAACCCCAAAAACAAAAAAAGTGAAGATGGATATTGTATGCCCACAAAAACATAACAAATTAGTTTAGCACTTTTGAAAGTTGTCAGGAGGGAAGCGGACGTAGCCGTCATACGCTTTGCACACTAAAATGGAGCTCTCTGACTCTGGCTTCAGCTTTTAGCTTTTTTTTTTCGGCTGACAACCAGGCTGAAACATAAAACTCTTTATAATTGCACTGTAAACATTTCACTTTCGTTTTTATTCCGCCTTTTTGTGAGCCGGGTCTTGGAAATCAGCTTAACTTAACACAAAACTGTCGTCTCCGCGGGTCGTGCACAGAATAATTTTTCAACGATCGTCTCTTAACGCTTTCGCCATCATATTGCATTATGTGGGTGCTTGGGTGACCAAAAAAAAAAAAAAACTGAAATATAAAGATTGCATCGGGAGTTCACTGGCTTTGGCCCAGCCCGCCGAGGATTCAATTAGCATCTGTCCAGATTATGGCCGGGCATTTGCATTAATGAGACGTGTCGCTCGTTGTCTTTCCGTTGCAGTAGCACTCTTTTCCGCCAAATCGTGGCAGCTACTGCCTCTGATGACCCCCACGGATGACCCTAGTTTGGCTGACATTTTTGGCTAGAAAACAGGCCCTACCCTGGTAGTTTCTTTATTTTAATTCAAGACCCAACCCAATCCACACCCTACCTCTATGATGTTCTTGAGCGAAAAATCTGTGAAACTTGAATAAATATTTGTCTTTCAGACAATCAGGGGTTTTGTAATCATAGCTTGTTTTAAAAATATCAACAAAGCTCTAGAAAATTATCAGAAAAAAGTGAAACCTGAATCAAGAATTTGTGGCTTGAAATCAGTTGGTATTTTCTTTGAATCCAACTAGCCAGGCCAACACCTGTGAAAATATTGGTTTAAGAAATGACACCTCTAAAGTATGGGTTCGTAACTTTTTTTATATACAAGTTTTTTAGTTAATTTGATACTATTTTTAGTCCCTTTAACTAATTTATGCTTTTTATTTTTTTCAGATCGAATTCCAAGGCCTCGTATTTGCCGCGCCAGAGTCTCGAAAAACTGAACAATACTGATCCCGATCATGGCATTTACAAACTCACCCTGACCTCCAACGAGGACCTGGTGGCGCACACGAAACCCAGCTACGGGGTGACCGGAAAATTGCCCAGCAATCTGCCGGATGTCCTGCCGCTGGGCGTCAAACTGCAACAGCAGCCGAAGGTGCAGCCAGGATCGCCGAACGGCGACGCCAACGTGACCCTGCGCTATGGCTCCAACAACAATTTGTCCGGCAACTCGCCCACCAGTGCCACGCCCCCCTATTACGGCGTCGGGCAGCGCTACTCCACGCCGGTCTTGAGCCAGGGCTATGGGAAGCCGGGTGCCAAGTCGGTGCAGAATCCACAATACACGAGATCTCAGTCGTACGATGTTAAGCAGACGAATATGGTGAACAGTCCAACGATGTCCCAGTCCCATGTGGATCTCAAACAAGTCGCCCACGAGCTGGAGACGACGCTGGAGGAGGTGCTACTGCCGCTGCCGGCCACACCCACGCCCACCGGCTCGCCTACACCGCCACGCCTCTCGCCGGCCTCCTCGCACTCGGACTGCAGTCTGAGCAACAGCTCGCTGGAGTGCACAATCAATCCGCACATTTTCCGTGCGGAGGTGATTAGCACCACTCTGACAGGAGCACCCCCAGCACCACCATCCAAGCCACCGATGAACCGACAGGAATCTTTGAGGGAGAATATCGAGAAGATCACCCAACTGCAGTCCCAGCTGATGTCGACGCATATTAGTAGCCCTCCCTTGCTAGGAGGCGGAGGAGTGGGTGCAGGAGCCTATAGGATAACCAGCCCGACTGCCGAATCACCACTGCCGACACCGCCACTGCCACCCACCAGTCCACCAATGCAGCCCACTTTTGAAGAGGAATCTCCTGAAACCCCGGAACCCGAAATCGAGTCTCTGCAATTGATGCAGCGCAGCGAACTGGTGCTCATAGTGAACCCCAAGCCAAGCACAACGGACATGGCATGCCAGACGGACGAGCTGGAGGACCGAGACACCGACCTGGAAGCGGCACGCGAAGAGCAACAAACCCGGACAACCCTACAGCCCCGTCAGCGGCAACCCATCGAACTGGACTACGAGCACATGAGCCGAGAGCTGGTGAAGCTCTTGGCGGCGGGCGATAAGCTTGTGGACATCCTCACACCAAAGAGCTGTAAGCCCATCTCTCAGTACGTGAGTAATCTGTACAATCCGGATGTGCCGCTACGACTGGCGAAGCGGGACGTGGGCACCTCGACCTTGATGCGGATGAAATCCATAACGACAACGACGGAGGTCAAGGTGGTCAGTGTGGAGCTGCAGCTCGGGGAGACCAGTGGCGAGGGAGCGAATTTAATCAAGCAAAAGCTGGTTAGTATTCTCATAAGTATATTTTAATTATAAGCCTTTAACTTAAACTTTGTTTTCCTCTTTTAGGATGAGTTGATCCAACAGCTGAACCAAAAAATTGGCTCCCTGAAGCGAGAGCAGGCGACTATAGGCGAGGAGTCATCGGCCAATGATAGACTGGGCCAGGACCTGTTCGCCAAGTTGGCAGAAAAAGTGCGACCCAGCGAGGCGTCCAAGTTCCGCACCTACGTCGACGACGTGGGTCACATCACCAGTCTGCTGCTGTCCCTTTCCGAGCGTTTGGCCCAAACCGAGAGCAGTCTGGAAGCGCGCCAGCAGGAAAAGGTGAGCTTATAACTATTATCCCATTGAACAATATTGATCTAATACAAAACTAATTCCCAGGGCGCACTGGAAGCCAAGCGGGATCGCCTGTATGAGCAGCTGGAGGAGGCGCAACGCCTGAAATCAGACATCGACCGACGAGGAAGCAGCATTGCCGGCCTGCTCGGCAAACACCTCAGCGCCGATTTGTGCGCCGACTACGATTACTTCATCAACATGAAGGCCAAACTGATTGCCGATGCACGTGATCTGGCCGAGAGGATCAAGAGCAGCGAGGAGCAGCTGGGCGCCCTCAGTGACGCGCTAGTCCAAAGCGATTGTTAACTTGGCCCATAGAGGATGAATGGCCAAGCCGACTTCAGATGCGGCCGATTCAACTGGATGTGTGACTCCTCCCCTCCCTGCTGTCAACTACAAGTTGAGAGCCACTCGAGAGGATCGCGAGGATCAAGGGGATCAAATAGATCGCGTAGGATCGGCCAGTTCAGTCCGCAATGTGTATTAGTTTAAAACGATGTGCTTAATTACCACACCCACACTATAATGTATAAAATATTTTATGTTGATTTGTGATTTTCAATTAGCTTGTAGGATAATTATTTTATGTATCGGCCGCATAGGTGTAAGCACTTTCTTTATAATTATCAAAACAAAGATAAACTATATGCATTAATAAAACTATACAAATTTAAAAATGTCTAAAGTCCCGCCAATGTGTGTTTTCCTTAGGAAGTTTCAAATAGAAAATATTTAACAATTCTATCTTTGATAGAAACACCTTATAGAACTTCTTTCAACGTTTTCTTCTTTAAAAAAAGATTTTTAATAATTTTTATTTTAAAATACAAAGTGGGATTTAAACAAAAGCTTTAAAATAACTTCAAGCTGGCAAGGCCTTGATAAGTGTTGGAAAACGCCACGGGGTTGTGGCAGTGTTTGTTAATGCGGCAACATTTTTCTGCAGCCCTGGTGCTGTTACTAACGATATGCAAAACAATATTAAGAAAAAAACAATAGGTGACCCAGGTCGCAACACTTGCACACGTTGCAGATTTATTTACATTGGTATTGCCCAACAGAATACCAGACAAAGGCGCTGATAAATTCATTGGTCTGATATGTTTAGGGCCAGAGCTCTGCTTCCCTGGATACGAAGCACTCTGACAAAGGCCCAGACACCTCAGGGAAATCCGTCAAAAGCTGTGGAACGGAAGTTGCTCGCGCCCACGTTACTCTCCCGTAGTCTAAACAAGTAAGTTACGACGTCAACATATCTGAAAGTTACGTATCTCAAAGATAACAATTCAATGCTCAGGCACGATTTCAGGGGCATGGCCACTGGAGGCGAAGTTGACGCGCAAGCTCCCAAGCAGGGCAATCGATTGCTTTCCTCCAAGTCTCCCTACCTTCTTCAGCATGCCTACAATCCGGTGGATTGGTGAGTATTGGATTAAATTCATCTGGCAAATTTATTGATCGATAAGAAATCCCTGCAGGTATCCATGGTCCGAAGAAGCCTTCGAGAAGGCACGCCGAGAGAACAAGCTAATCTTCCTATCCGTCGGCTACTCCACTTGCCATTGGTGCCATGTAATGGAACATGAATCCTTCGAGAGTCCCGAAACAGCTGCCATCATGAACGAACACTTTGTGAATATTAAGGTAGACCGTGAAGAGCGTCCGGACATCGACAAGGTTTACATGCAGTTTCTACTGATGAGCAAGGGAAGCGGTGGTTGGCCAATGAGCGTGTGGTTGACTCCGGACCTGGCTCCTCTGGTGGCTGGCACCTACTTTCCGCCGAAAACACGCTACGGGATGCCTGCGTTTAACACTGTGCTCCAAAGCATTGCCAAGAAGTGGCAAACAGATAAGGATGCGTTAATCGAAGCGGGATCCACCTTGGTAGAAGCTTTGAAGAAAAATCAATCTGCAGAGGCTGTGCCAGAAGCTGCTTTTGAGCCGGGAAGTGCCGAAGCAAAACTATCTGAAGCCATCACAGTACACAAGCAGCGCTTCGATCAGACCCACGGGGGATTCGGCTCGGAGCCTAAGTTTCCGGAGGTGCCACGCCTTAACTTTTTGTTTCATGGATATCTTGTCACTAAGGATGTTGATGTGCTGGACATGGTGCTGCAGACGTTGGACCACATTGGCAGGGGCGGAATTAATGACCACATATTTGGTGGCTTTGCCCGATATGCCACCACCCGTGACTGGCATAATGTGCACTTCGAGAAGATGCTGTACGACCAAGGCCAGCTAATGGCCGCCTATGCGAACGCCTACAAGCTAACTAGAAGCGAAACCTTCTTGGGCTATGCTGATAATATCTATAAGTATTTGGTTAAGGATCTGCGGCATCCGCTGGGCGGGTTCTATGCTGGTGAGGATGCAGACTCGTTGCCAACGCATAAGGATACAGTTAAAGTTGAGGGCGCTTTCTACGCCTGGACCTGGAAAGAGATACAAGCTGCTTTCAAGCATCAAGCTGACCGTTTCGAGGGGGTATCGCCCGAACGAGCATTCGAGATTTATTCCTTTCATTACGGCTTAAAACCGAATGGCAATGTGCCCACCTACAGTGATCCACATGGCCACCTCACCGGCAAGAACATTCTCATCGTAAAGGGTTCCGATGAGGAGACATGCTCAAACTTTAACTTGGAGGCAGAGCCTCTGGAGAAGGTACTGAATACAGCTAATGATATTTTGCATGTTTTACGGGATCAGCGACCCCGGCCCCATTTGGACACCAAGATCATTTGCGCCTGGAATGGTCTCGTCCTGTCTGGTCTGTCGAAGCTGGCAAATTGTGGTACCGCCAAGAGGCAGCAATATATGCAAACGGCTAAAGATCTTTTGGAATTTCTGCGGAAGGAAATGTATGACTCGGAGCGAAAGCTACTTCTACGATCCTGCTATGGTGTGGCTGTTGGAGATCCAATGCTGGAAAAGAACGAGTACGTCCAATACTTTTAGTTTTTATTATTTTATAAATTAACTTTTTTATTTTCAGATCTGAAATTGAAGGATTTCTGGATGACTACGCCTTTCTTATCAAGGGCTTACTAGATTATTATAAGGCTTCGCTGGACCTTAGCGCCTTGCATTGGGCCAAGGAGCTGCAAGAAACTCAGGACAAACTCTTTTGGGACGAGCAAAACGGAGCTTATTTCTTTTCAAAGCTAGACTCCCCGAATGTGATTGTGCGGCTGAAAGATGGTATGTATATATAGAATATAGATATACAATATGCCTTCTCACTGTCTCGACTTTCATTAGACCACGATGGGGCCGAGCCCTGTGGCAACAGCGTATCCGCAAGAAATCTCACCCTGTTGTCCCACTATTACGACGAAGATGCCTATCTGCAGCGTGTGGGAAAGCTGCTGAACTTTTTTGCCGACGTAGCTCCCTTTGGACATGCGCTTCCCGAAATGCTTTCGGCATTGCTGCTCCACGAGAACGGCTTGGACCTGGTAGCCGTGGTTGGACCCGATTCGGATGACACTAAGCGCTTCGTTGAGATCTGTCGCAAGTTTTATATACCGGGCATGATTATTCTGCACGTAGATCCCCAGCATCCGGACGACGCGAGTAATCAAAGAGTGCAAAAAAAGTTCAAGATGGTGAATGGAAAGACCACCGTTTACATATGTCACGATCGCGTCTGTCGGATGCCCGTAACCGATCCGGCACAGCTAGAGCAGAACCTTATGGCAAACTTCTTCACGGAACGGGTGTGAATGCCTGAGATTACTCGAAATAGATTAAGGCTTTCTAAACGTTATGTTATTGTTTTGGCTTCCAAAGCATAGTATAGTTGTTCATGGAACTTGTATATACGCGTAAGATAAATAAAGACCGATATAAAGACTTTTCCGTTCCGTTACTTGTATTTTCCAACAAATGGAATACATAGCCACAATAATAAACAATCAATTAATCTCTCATCTCGAATACAACACGATTTGTGCATTTATTGGAATCGTTCTGTTTGTGGAGCAAACAACCAGTCGGTGGTCGGCTGCACCTGCTCCGCCCCAGAGGCGTAGACACGTAAAACTAAGCTCTAAACTAAATGCAAGCCCTGCGCTGCTTCCGAGAACCGACACCCAATCTTATCGGACGGGACAGAATGGTGGCGACGACTCTCGGACGCCACGGCAATCGGCATAGAAGGAAACTAAACGTATGGAGAGAACAGCTCAAATATCGGTAATTATAATCGTAATAATAGTAGTTTGTAGTAATAAAAATAATTAGTTGAAATTCACATTCATCACATTGGTTGGCCGACCCATCTACCAAGCTATACCATTCTTGAAATGATCTTGGTTCGTATCCAGATCCGCCTCTCAGGTGTCAGCATCGTTAACGCTCATGAAGTCGAAGCTGTCAACGATGGTCTCCATGCGCTCATGGTGTTCGAAGCGGGCAAACTTCCTGCTACATTTTCGCGCCAACCGCGATTTGAAATGGCGAGAATAACGCGTTCGCCGGTAGTAGCGAATACGCGTATCCTCCTCCTCCTCGTCGTACTCCGGCGCTGATACTGAATCCTCGTCCGTCTCACGCAGAAACTCTTTAGGGTCGCGGTGGATCTTGAAGATCTTGGTAGCCGTCGCCCCATTGAGCTTCGATATGGTACGCGATGCGTTAAGTATTCCACGGTCGGAGCAGGAAATGGTATTGGAGCCGGAGTTGGTGCGATTCTTGATCGTCGTCAGCTGGTTTGTGATGGACACTACGTTGAATAGCTTAGAAAGCTCCGAATCTACGCATCTACGCGATTCTCGACGCAAGTTCCTGGCGCTTTTAATGAAGTGGTTGAGTGGACTTTCCAACGGATGCGGATTGCCGCTGGCCGAGCAGGTGGGCGAAATGGATACGGAGACGGTGGAGGAACTGCAGTTTCCGTTGCTGTTGCTACTACCATTACTGCAGCTCGTCAATAAAGTGGGCGTGGAGGGCGGCGCTGGTGGCGGCACGTGGGGCATTGTGTAGCAGCGCTGGCGACCAGACCCCGGATTCGCCACTGCTCCCCCCCCACCAACCGACTCATCATACAGGTTGGTGACGTTGTAGCGGTTCAGGCGGCATAGAGACAATGCCGAGTCAGACTCCAGATCCGTCTCCGAATCATGGCTGGTGGGCATGTCCATCGTCTACGTGCGTATGTGGGTGTGTTGTTTTTTTTTTTTGGGGCCAAAAATTTTTCGAGTGGGTGGAGTGGCGACGAGGCGAAAAGAAAACCGTACAAACAGAGATGTAAGCATCCAAATTGTATCAGAACTATGGTCACCCGACTTACCTGAAAAAGGCCATCGAGCTCCATGTATTGTCTGTCGCTCAAACGGTGTATTTTGGGCATCAGTTCAGGTATTGATTAGGAAATATTATTATTTGCAGCCAGTGCTGCCAGATCGTCAATTCTGAAATAACGGCCTAACGCAATACTTTACAGCTTTGGTTTAAACTTAATACTTTTCAGTTGTTTTAGAAATAATTCATAAAAAATATATATAGTAAAACATTTTAAGAATCTAACCAATTTTGAATCTATTATATACCCTGATTATTTGCGGTTTCTTTGGTAAAAAACTAAAAACTTGATGGTATTGTAAATATAAAAAAAAAACTGCAGTCCGGTAACGCTTCTACTTCCGCAGCTATCTATAGATATGTAGATATATTCTTAATGTTTGTAAATAAATCCGTTCTGTAGGGTTAAGCTACTTTTACTAATATTGAATATCAGATAATTTTACTGAAGGTCCTAAAAGATATATCAAGGCCTGTTTGCTCAGATATATATTTCTTTGTGAAGAAAAAATTGGTAATGCATATGAACATCCATAAAAAAAAGTTATTTCTGGGGGAGAGAGAAACAACCTGAAAAATATTTCAAGTAAAAGATACTATAAACATATATGAATATCCGAGATTTCACAAAGAGTCCACAAAAATTGGAAAAATTGGATGTTTTTATGCAGAATGGCTGAGAATCGAACTACAAATTGGTTGAGGAATTCCGCTCAAGGATTAAGTTTGGAATAAAAAGATCCAAGATTTTCTGTCAACAATTCGGTTCCCTTCCCAAAATTCGGGAAAAATCAATGATTTTGTTATTAGTTTCCTGTCCCACAAAAAAGAAGGATAAAAACACTGGAATTTTAGGTTTTGAGTTGATGGTTTTATTTGGATTCAGTCTTGTTTAAATTGTTTGTTTTGTCTAATCCAGCCTTCTGAGGTCACTCATAGGCCCCCACATTTTTTTTTTCTTTTCAGTGGAGTATGCGGGCCAAACTTGTGGGGTGCTTGTGGCCAAAGCTCCAGTTGATGGCGCACATCGCAAGTTCAGCCAGGGCCACCATTCTTCAATGTATGTAGCTTCGAATAGACAGATTGATGACACTCGCGCCTATTTGTTCTGCGCAGAAGGCCAAATTTAACAAAGGGGCGGGTGAGTCGCTGTCGGCTGGAGGGGCTCGACCTCGACGACGACCAGCCCGTTGTAGTTGTGTTGGTTTGTGATGGTTTTTGGCGTGCCTCAAGCTTGTCGCGGGATCGCAGGGGTGAAAATGAGTACAGCCCAACACCCGTGATCCCGAATGGGACAATTTGACGTGCCAACCGCACGGATGGCGTTTCGGGAGCCATCGTAGTGCCGTGTGTTTCGAAATATTTTGACAAAGTCAAAAATTGGTTGGTTGGTTTTTAAATTTCCGTAGGAAATTTAGTTTTTGCCCAGTTCACGCCCCCTGTAGCTCCACTCGCACCAGAGACATTTCAAAGGGTTCCGAACCCCCAAAAACAGTTCAAGACCGAGGCCCCAAACATGAAAATGGATGTTCCAGCCCTTTGGGGCTGTCAATGTCACGTGCAAAAGGATCTAAGAGGGCGATCACCGGACGGGGGGTTTTTTGCTGCCTTCAAAAAGGACCAGAATCAGTCGGAAAACTCAACGACAGTATTACGGCAACGAACAGGATGATCTCAGCATTGGTTAGAATGCAAAAATTATCAAATTCAGTTGCCTTTTAATCGTTGACCTTCCGCTGAACGGCACAAAGTGGAGGCGGCGGTTTTGAGAACTGCTGGACCTTGGGGACGATTGGGGATCAAGAAACATCCATTCGGAGTCCTAACGGCAGAAATGGAAATTTGCAGGCAAAGATAGATGCGATTACCCTAAGCTTTCGCCTTGGATAAACGATCCGTCTTGTGTCCCATAAATTTCACACTCCGCCGTCAAGATGCTCCAAACTTTTGGACGAAATCCTTGATCCTCAACCGTCCCCTGGTCAGCAGATCTCGGGCACATTGCTTGTTCTTGTAAAATTCAATTCAAAAATACAATTTTAAAAATTGTGAGCGCAAATGTTGGCGTTCTTTGCCAAGGATAGCCGCATGGCGGCGTGAAAGTGATTTTGGGTGAAGCCGTTTCCACTGGAAGCTATTGACGGAAACGGCGTGGGATTTGATTTGTGGGCAGACGCTAACCGCTGCTTACCGGCACGCCATTCGCCAGTGAGTGTGTGGAGATTAAGTTTGCAGTCTTGTTGTGGAATCTTCGACGGATGCGGCAGACGTTGCTGCCGTGACTTTTGGTGTTGCTGTTGCTGTCGATTTGGTTCCTCATCTTGCTCGCTCATCCTCCAGTTGGGCTCTCGCTGACGTTGACGGCGGGTGTGGCCGCGAAAAGTTCTGAGAAGTGTTTTTTGAAGTGAGAGCCACCGATGATGTAATTTGGTTTTCGCTGCTCTCCCTCCAGATTTTTGATGATGTCGTCTATTCTTCATTGTTCTCCTCCTGCCGCTTCTGGGCACGCTTGCGGCAGTTCTCGTAAGTATGACCCCGGAAGTTGCAGTATGTACAGCGGGTGGTGCGACGGCTGCCTCGGACGTTCTTCGAATTGGCAAGATCCGTATCCTCCTGGTTATTGTGCTCGATGACCCTGCCCTGCTCGAGCAGATCCTTGAAGGTCTGAACGGACGTGCGGGCAATGTGCTTACGGTATTTAATGTTGAGAAGCCCGTAAAGCAGATCCAGCTCGGTCTCCTCGTCGTGGCGTCCGTTGGGAAGCTGGGCCAGAAGGGCCCGCTTGTGCACCACAAAGGTATCAATGGGATCGTGATCTTCTTGCTTGGTCTGGAAGAACTCCATGTAGACCTGGTAGGCGGGCTTTGTGGGCGAGAAGTGCTCACGGATGAGCCCAATGGCGTCGTTCCAGGTGTTTGCCTCCTTGCGAACGCCCTGCCACCAGATAGAGGCCAGTCCGTAGAAAAGGAGCGAGAGCCCCTTGAGGGCATTCTCGTCAGTGATGTTCTCTAGCTCCTTGTAGGTCACTATGTTCGTAATGAACTCTTCCACCTCATCGTAGTCGCGGGCTCCGCCAAATTTGTGCTGGCAGGCGGAGAAGCTGCCCTTTGCCGTAGCGATGGGATTTTCAGCTCCTCCAGCGGCTGCTGCTGCTCCGGCGGCGCTGATACGGACTGCTTCGATCAGTGCCTTTAACTGTTCGTTGGTCATCTGGATGGGTTGTGCCATCTTTGAGGTTGGAAACGGGATTAGGTAGACGGTGGTAACACGTTGTTAGTTTGTAAAACTTTGTGAGTTGCTTTGAGGCGGGCAAAGCCAGTTGTAGCGAATGCTGCCGTTTTGTCGTGGACTGGTTGGGTCCCCAGTCGGGGATCCATTTATATACCCCGACGTTGTGAAATCGATTATCGAAAAAGCTGAGCGAAAATGAGAGAGCCAGCCCCAAAGAGAACGCGTTTGGGTGAATCACTCCTGCAATCGAATAGCAACAAAATAGTAAAAGCCGGTAACAAACACAAAAATTATCAACCGACACTGATAATGAATATGATTTTAACGATTCTTGCCACCCCATTTAGTAGGAAAAGTATTTCAAGGTCTTGGAAAAATGTTAGGGGCGTTTTACTTTTATAAAAAAAAATGTTTCTATAGTTTTATTGCAATTACAATAGCATGCGAAATTCATAGGGCAGAGTCATTAATGATGAGTCAACATCCAAAGTATTTTGGAATTTAATGATTGTTTGGTAGCCCAGATTAAATAGTTTGTTGCTTATTTGTTTATTTGTCAGAGTATCATTCATGCTGATGACCTCATAAAACTTGTTTTTTTTTCATCATAAAAATGTAGTTCTAAGAATTCTTAAATTTATGCTCTTTTAGATCTATGATTTAAAATAGATTAATAGGTTTTAATACTTAAGTATGTACATACACAAGATAGGAATTATCGGAGTTATATTGTTTATAAGTTTCAATAATATTAATGTGAGTCTAATGTACTATTATAATAGAATTGGTAAACCCCCGTCCATAAGAACGTTCTCATTTAAACATCTCTCCCTAAATTATAAAAAAAAACTAGCGTTGGAGCGACGAATATTCGAAAAAGCTTTCCAACAGAGAGAATTCCGATTTCACAACGAAACTGCTGAGCGTGCATAAACTTTTGCCATTCGACCGGCTCCCCTTTTTGTGTAAACGTCGGCCAACTGTTTGTGTCGGCGAATATATTTCCGGCGTTTGTTTATTATTTTCAAGAATCAAAACATAAACAGTTGACACAATGACTCAGATGTCCGATGAACAGTTTCGGATACTCATAGAGACCATCCGGGCCCTGGCCCCGATCAAAGAAGAGGAACCGGTGTCGAAGGGCAGCTTCAGTAACTGCCCGGTTCGGTTCAGTGGCCAACGGGATCACGATGCCGTGGACGAGTTTATCAATGCTGTGGAAACCTACAAGGAGGTGGAGGGCATCAGTGACAAAGATGCCTTGAAGGGCCTGCCCTTGCTGTTCAACAACATTGCTGTGATGTGGTGGAAGGGTGTCCGTCGCGATGCCAGGACGTGGGAGGATGCCATGCAGCTGCTGCGTGACCATTTCTCACCCACCAAACCGTCGTACCAGCTGTACATGGAGATATTCGAGACTAAGCAGGTACACGGCGAGGTGATCGATTCCTTCATTTGCAAGCAACGGGCTCTGCTGGCCAAGTTGCCGGAGGGACGACATGACGAGGAGACTGAGCTGGACTTTATATATGGACTGTTGCAACCCAAGTACCGGGAAAGCATTCCACGGCATGAAATAAAGACCTTTAGGGAGCTACTTGATCGTGGCAGAACCGTGGAGCGAACGAAGCATTAAATGTAAAATTAGTTAATAGAAATAAATATATTACTTAATATTTTGTAAACTTGTTAAATGAATGACATTATTAAACTATTTATTTAAAGACATTAAAACATAGTTACTACCTGCCATTTTTAATTTCATACTGTTTAGGGAAACCCAAGTTCTTGGGCTGTAGGTAATTAAAAAAAAAAGTTTTTGAATATTCAACAATTTCAACTTGTTGCCAAAATGATAGAGTTGCCACTAAGTTAACGGTATTTTTTCCTACATTTAGTATTTTTGTGAATTTATCGAATATAGTATATTCCGTGACTTTCATTGTGCGGTCACTCCGCTCTGGATTTCATATTCTTGCACAGAGGTCTGTGAAAATTTTTACAATTTTGTAAAATTGGCGTGGATTTCAATGGTTTCGACCGCCTTTCCTGTTCTTTTAGGTGGCGGGCCCCTGCTGGCGACTGCGAGGACGATTTTACTTTCCTAGGCCTCTGATGTGAGGAAGCAGCGCGGACGTGTAGGACAAGATGACTACCAGCAGCGAGGATGTCCTGCTCCAGATGGGCGAAGTGCGATACAAAAAGGGGGACGGAACGCTCTATGTGATGAACGAGCGTTTGGCCTGGATGGCTGAGCACCGAGATACCGTGACGGTCTCCCACCGCTATGCGGATATTAAAAGTTTGTTTGCATTCATCTCGGTTGTTTGGTTTAGTCTTTATTCTTTATTTTTTCACTCTGCAGCCCAGAAGATCTCTCCGGAGGGAAAACCCAAGATTCAGCTGCAGGTTGTGCTGCACGATGGGAACACATCCACCTTCCACTTTGTTAATCGTCAAGGCCAAGCGGCCATGTTCGCCGACAGGGACAAAGTTAAGGAATTGTTGCAACAATTGTTGCCCAATTTCAAAAGGAAGGTTGATAAGGATCTGGAGGATAAAAACCGCATCCTCGTGGAAAATCCCAATCTCCTGCAGATGTACAAGGACCTTGTGATAACAAAGGTAATTACTAGCGACGAATTTTGGGCTACGCACGCCAAGCATCATGCTTTAAAAAAGATGGGAAAGACCCAAGAAATCGGTAAGTAGAAAACCTTAAATTACAAGAAATATTTTTTCATCAATACTCTTCAAAAAAAGGTGTTTCCGGCGCTTTTCTGGCGGACATCAAGCCTCAAACAGACGGCTGCAACGGACTCAAATACAATCTTACCTCCGACGTGATACATTGCATTTTCAAGACTTATCCCGCCGTAAAGCGCAAGCACAGTGAAAACGTACCCAACAAGATGCCTGAGGCCGAGTTCTGGACCAAATTCTTTCAGTCACACTATTTCCACCGCGATCGTCTAACTGCCGGAACAAAGGATATTTTCACTGAGTGCGGCAAGATTGACGACCAGGCTTTAAAAGCAGCCGTGCAACAAGGCGCCGGTGATCCGCTGTTGGATCTCAAAAAGTTCGAGGATGTCCCATTGGAGGAAGGATTCGGCAGTGTGTCCGGGGATCGCAACGTGGTGAACAGTGGAAACATTGTGCACCAGAATATGATTAAGCGTTTCAATCAGCATTCCATTATGGTGCTCAAGACATGTGCCAATGTGAACACTGGACCCTCTGCCATGACTAACGGCACCAATAATGCCAACGGACCTGTCTCGCAGTCCGCATATACAAACGGTGTCAATGGAAAGGCCTCCGCCAGTGCTTCGACCTCTAATAGTTCCTCGGATCAGGCAGACAAAGATGAGCCACAGATCAAAAAGCAACGACTGATTGAGAAGATACATTACGAGGATCTGGGTGATCCGGTGACGGAATTGGGTGAGGATGGCAAGCCCTTGGAAACTAATACCAAGTCCAAACAGTTTGAGCTGTCCAAGGTGGAGCGCTATTTGAACGGCCCCGTCCAGAACAGCATATATGATCCTCTATACGATTCCGAAAGCCTAGAGGAAGTGCAGTACAAACTGGTGCGTAACTCGGAGTCTTGGCTGAATCGTAGCGTGCAAAGGAGTGTGATTTGTTCCAAGGCGGCTGTGAATGCTCTTGGAGAACTAAGTCCCGGTGGTTCTATGATGCGGGGCTTCCAGGAGCAATCAGCGGGTCGTAAGTTTTTGAGGAATCGTTTTTGCCTCACTCATTACACTCTTCTTTGATAGAACTGGTGCCTGACGATTTCCAGCGCGAGCTGCGCCACTTGTATCTGTCACTATCGGAATTACTGAAGCACTTTTGGAGTTGCTTTCCACCCACCTCTGATGAACTGGAGGCTAAGTTGCAGCGCATGCACGAGACCCTGCATCGCTTTAAACAGGCCAAACTAGTGCCCTTTGAGGTGGGACCTAATAAGTAACGCGCCTCCTAGACTATTATTTACATATTCCTGATTTTACAGAACCGTGCTATGCATGAGCTGTCTCCGCTGCGCTCTTCGCTAACCCAGCATATGAATAAGCTACTGCGTACTGCTAATACCAAGTTTAATACATGGAAGGAGCGCAAACTGCGAAACAGTAGATAGCAAACGCTCAATGAAGGAGAGCTGGAGCGTCTGCCACACACCTCAAGAACCATTATAATAGACTAGAAGTAACTCATAATCGTATGCGGTACGCATTGGAATAAAACACTATTTGCAACTTGGTATATAGGCCTGTGTTTCTATGTCTATTTTTGGAGTCGTGACTGCGGTTATTTTAGGGGAGCGTGTCATGTTGCGGTTAATTTTAGTTCATATTGAAGGTATCCAATTAGCAGAGCCAGCGATTCTATAAAGGTTGTAATCTTGAGCGCTTAGCGCTTTAGTTGGTTTGGTCATCTTAGTCGCGAAACAAAAATCAGAATTATACAATAAAAGATGGACGTTCAAAGTCCTTTTTGGATTCTTTTCCTAAGCTTGTCTTTTGTGCGAGCCACCTTGATATTTAACACAAATTCCGAGTTTGGTGTAAATATTTAAATGTCAATTAATATGCATATAATGAAGATCCTTCTCTACAATAGATTTTCATGGCCATTGCAATGCCGCTTTCCTTAAAGAATCGCAATGTCTTCCTTTCCTTCAGTTATGAGTTCAACTATTATCAGCCCGAGCATATATACAAATATCCTCCGATTTTGGTGAGTGAACTGAAAAAACAACTGGTAGTTTGTTCTTAACAAACTGTTCCAGATGGGAGAAGACTTCGAGGACAGTTATCTTACCTACAGTACCACTGGAGGTGAAGGAGCTTCAAGCAGCAGTAGATCCTTTTCTTCAGATGATTCTAAAAACACCGAAAAGCTGCGGCCCCAACGGGCTTTACCTGCCATGAGCAGAACAAACTTTTATATCATGCTGAAGGATAAATTAAAAAGGTGAGATAATAAAATATTTTCCGCTATATTTTTACTTATCAGCTTTTCTTCCAGAACTGGTTATCCGGATGAGCCTTGCCTCCTACGTCTAATTTGCGAAACAAATGCCTCGACGCTTGGCGAAGTTAATGGACTCTTAGGAAACATAGTGCATATCATCTTCACGTAAGTATCAAAGCTTTTCACAACCAACCAGAAACAAGAAGCCAGTGATGATGATTATGAAAGCTCCTCGGGCGCTAACCAATAAAAGCGAAAGATATTTTTAGCACCACGATCTTAACAGGGGTTTCCTCTTCTGGTTTTGCAGGCCGAGCAGCTCGAGTGACGAGAACCTGGCCAAAGAATACTACCAAGCCGAGTGGGATGGCCGGCAGTATGGCGATTGCTCACGGTATGCCAGCCAATGTAAAGAGAATGTTTTGGATCTGATCTCAAGGCCGTTGGACGATATTCTACGGGAAGTACTGGACCAACGAAATGGAAGACAATAAACTGGATGGTCGGTCAGGCGCTTACAGTTTGAACTGCATTAAACCAATTCGGGCCGACCCAGATTTTCAATTCTTTGGTTTAATTAACAGCTTCTTAGATACGCACCTTTCTTGCCTGCTTTTGTTAAAATATAGCCAGCAGTTGGTATCGAAACGCTCCCATTGTCAGTTGAGCATCGGAAATTGGATACTTTAAAAATTATTTGTAAATTATAGTAGAATGTTTAAGCAGTCAAAGTGTATCCCCTGGCTTAGAATATGTGCCATAGTAATAAACTGGAGTATTGTTAAGTCTGCCCTGCTCTTTACTACAAACTCCGAGTACGGGGTAATTTTGATCTCAAGTGCTTGTGAGCCGCGTGACTATAAGAATGCTTTTTGTTTCGCAGATCTTCATGGCCATATCGGTGCCCATTAGTTTACCTCATCGGAACGTATTTTTATCGTACAATTACGAGTTCAATTACTATCAGCCAGAGCATGTTTACAAGTATCCTCCGATTTTGGTATGTTCTTGGAATGAGTTTGTGTCTTGAGTTATTTGTTTTATGGCTGCTTTCCTCTTGCAGAGGTTGCAGTTTGAACAGTGCTTGTTAAAATGGGTGTGATAATCTGAAATAGATTTTTTCTAATTTGCTTTTTTCTCTGATAATTTTAAGATGGGTCAAGATTTCGAGGACAGCTATCTCACGTATCCCACGACAGGACGTGATGCGAATGGCGTAGATTGGAAACTGAAGGGAAATACTACAAATGATTCCTCAAAAGCATCCTCTTCCCGTGAAAAACGAGCTCTGACATTAATGAGCCGCACTGTGTTCTATGCCATGATAAAGGATAAATTAAGAAGGTACATTATTCACCCTGTTTATCTTAATGTTAATAATAATACGTCTATAACCCTAAAGATCTGGCTTTCCTGGCGAAGCTTGCCTTCTACGCTTGATTTGTGAAACAAACTCATCGCAACTGGGAGAGGTGAATGGGTTTTTGGGCAGCCTAGTGCACATTATATTCAGGTAATGTTCTGGAAAAGGCTATACCTAAATAATAATTGTAAAATGATTAAATTTCAGTCCAAGCAGCTCCAAAGACGAGTACTTACCTAATGAGTATTATGAGGCCGAGTGGGATGGCCTGAAACATCAGAGTTGTCTAGCTTATACCAAAAAATGTCCAGAGAGCCCCTTGGACTTGATTTCTGTGCCACTGGAACAGGCGCTTAGCAATATAATAAGTCGTCGCAGAAAAAAATAAACTGGAGTACCAAGTAGATCAAAAGAGTCTTTTTCTCTGGGGGGTTTACTGATGTAATTAGCATTCACTTGAAAGGTGCCACGCACTTGTAGCGAGTACTGAACATCAATTGCTTTTTCAGTTGCTTCCCGAACATCGTGGTGATCTCTAGTGCGTGGCGGTCGTAAAAAATGCTTTCCAATCCAGGCTTTTGTGGGCTTTTTATCCTTTTGACAATCTACTTGGATGTGGCCAATCCATTTGTAGCCTTCACTCCCGCCAGTACCCATGGTGTAAGTGAATAAAATATTAAAGCTAATAAAGTACTTCAAGATAATATAAATCTTAGATCTTTGCCGCTATTGCTGTACCCTTGGAGTTGCCCCACCGCAATGTATTCGTTTCTTATAATTTTGAGGCCAACTACAATTTACCCGAGAAGTGGGAGAAATGGACAATATTTGTAAGTTCCATTCTTGGTTTGTTTGCGGCTATAAAATTCTATAAAGTGTGGACTATTAACACACCTTTCATGGAACAATTAACAGATCCAAATAAATGCAAACAGCGACCATCAGTATTTGTTTTTGTGATTATTCACTAGTTGGTTGTTATTCCAGCAAAATGGTCCCATTGAATCGGAAGAAGTTGTAGATACGGATGCAGATGCAGAAACCGATGAGGAGTCATCACGAAAATTATCTGGCGGTTGCCAAAATTGCACCGAGCAGGAGCCCTATCAAGAACAGGACCAGGAGGAAGAGGCCAAACCCACAGAAACGCCCAGAAATGCAAGAAAAATTCGATCGCTGCTTACTCGAACTAATATATATCGAATTTTTATTGACAAACTCAAAAGGTGGGCTTCTGAAGTAAAAAATAATCTTAAAACTAATAATAATATCTTAAAGGAGCGGTTTCCAAGGCGAGTCGTGTTTACTTCGTTTAATTTGTGAGACTAGTGCTGCGCAGCTGGATGAATTTAATGGCGTATTAGGCAGCATTGTGCACGTGCTACTGAGGTACTCAAAAAGTTATATTAAATATCTACAGGCTTTATAGTTTTGTTTTTACTATAGTCCCAGCACTTCGGAATCGGAGAATCTACCTTTACGCTATTACCAAGCAGAACATGATGGCTGGAACGATCATTGCCACTTTTATGAACCCGGTTGTGGCGAAAGTCTTCTTGAACTTGTATCAGAACCCTTTGAAGCCATTCTTAACCACATTGAACAAAATAAAATGTAGGCTTTCTCATATTCAGAACAACCCGTCTGGCCTGCTTTTCTTACCACCTCGATAATTAGCAACTTTCGCTGCTAGAAAATAGAAGTTCTTAATTGGATCATCACTAACGGGTAGAAAGAAAAGATTTTTACTTTGGTAGCTCTTGTCTCTTACTTCAGTCGAATGAGGGCAGTTGGACAAAATGGATGGTTTTCGCAGCCTCCTAGTCCTTTTTGTTTTGGGTTTATTTCAGCGGCTTCAAGCCAAGTTTGTGTGGAACACAGGCGGTGCATCTGCAGTGAGTTTATTTCTTATATCTTTTATCTGATATCTAAGAATATTCCTTTATTCATGACAGCTTTTTGTGGCCATTGCTTTGCCCTTGGATCTGCCAAGGAAAGAGGTCTTCCTGTCCTATAATTTCGAAGCCGAGTATGAACTTCCCAGGTCTTGGAAGAAGAAACCACCCTACTTAGTAAGTTTTTGGAAGTTATGGTCTGTAATAATTTTATAAAATGCATGTTATTCTTCAGCGCAATGGAAATGGTACCGATGATGGCTCAATTAGTGACCACCTTGATCACCAACAGTTCGATGACTTTGTTTACGACGACTACTATGATGATCCTGGACATAAACACAAGCACAAACATCATCATGGTAAGAAGAAAAAGAAGACTAAGCCAAAACCAGGTTCAGCGGGAAAGCCCCAAAAACAGAAACATAAACGCAAACATAAACATAAGCCAAAGCCAAAACCAAAGCCACCACCAGAGGACGAGGAGGATGAAGATTACAAGGACTTCTTTCAAGGATTCCCGCTCGATGGCATGGGGGATCCAGTGGCAAGGAGCATGGAGAAGAGATCTCTGCTGTCGCGTACCAAATTCTACAATATACTAAGCCATCGCTTTGAAATGTGAGTAAATACTTTTTAAACAAGCGAATTAGATCTTTAGAATCCTCTATTTTACAGGCATGGCTTAGGTACTGGCGATCGTTGCCTTCTCCGATTAATCTGCGAGACCAACAGCTATAGTTTGGGGGATCTCAATGGCGTTCTGGGCAGCATGGTCCATATAATGTTTAGTCCCAGTAGCTCTCGTTACGAGGCCCTACCCCAGCGATATTACACTGCCGAGTTGGATGGAATCAAGGGCCGCTGCGGTAATTACAAACTAGAATGTCAACACAGTGTTCTTGATTTGATCACGCAACCAATTGCCCGCTATAAGGAAAATAAAAGTAAATTACAGTGAAAATGTGAAAATTAGGTAGGTATTTATCTAGGTATTTCTCATGAACATTTTTAGAGCTGGCCAGGGGCAGTTTTTGGCATACGATTTAGCCTCCTGGCACATTCGATTACTGCGCTGCCACATTTTCTCTGGGCAGGTGAATATCAAGCGGGCGTAGGCGCAGAGGCTGTAGAAGAGGGCGTGTCTATCGCAGGCATTACTCTGTCGACTTACTTGGCCCAGTTCCTGGTACTTGCTCCTGACCACCGCCGAGCATTTGGCGAAGTTTGACTCGTATATGTCAATGGTTACATCGCTGGTGAAAGCTCGTTCCAACATGGGTCGAATTTTGGCATGAATCAGGGAGGTTCCCTGCAGAGCTGAGCTCACATTGAAAATGCAGGAAAGTCGACACTAAAAGAAGGTACATGTAATAATACTTTTGGTAGGAAAATACCCTTTCTGGCAACATACACTAGCCTGCGATCCTGACGCGGCACATTCTCGATTGTAAACTCCCCAGTTGGGCATGGGAGCTGAACAGCAGATGTGTACATTCTGTGAGGGATTATACTGGGAATATATGTATTGGGAATACTTCAATGACTCACCTGGACAGATTTGGGAGCTGCCTTACATTTTGCCGCCTCAACGGAGACTGTGTATCCCAGTAAGCACACAAGAAGTATACGCCCCATGTACATGGTTCGACCTTTTACTGCCAAATGAACAAACTTTTACCAAAACCTAGCATATTGCATGTCACCAGCAGTGTGTAGTTGGTATGTTACAGATTACAAATTAACCCACTTAAGCCCCAAGCTTGGCTGAGCATCTAACTTCATTTGGCAGGCAATAAAAGTTCAACTCATTCAAAATTTTGTCTACTTTTGTTTTGGTTTTAAAATTACGTTTCTTTTCCGGCCCCGAAAACCCACCAAGAAACGGCATCGGGATGTTGTTAAATGTTTGGCCATTTATAGCCCTACTTTGGCTACCTTCGGTTGTCCTCGGCCAAGGTATGGACTTGGCGGAAATAAATAAGTGTACACAGTTGATGGATACGGAAAAATTGGCCCACTGCTGCGGCAAGGGCTTCCTGGACAAGTTCATCTTTGTGGGCAGCAACTGTACGCCATACTGGGACGACTACGGACCTGTGAGTGCCATTGGGGGATAAAGATTATTTATTTATTAGCTCCAATATTCCTAGTGCCGCTATGAGTGCCTCTACAAGCACTGGGATCTGCTTGACGCGGATAATAAGATCAAGAAAGCGCAGTTCTACACTATGGTAACGGAGCTATATAGTCCTTTAAATGGCCATAACAACTACGGCGCCGCCTTGAAGGCTGCCCACGAAACCTGCGAGCAAGTGGGCACCAAGCACGCCGACTTTGTCATGCTATACGCCCACCAGCTGGGCAGTAGTCTGGGCCTGACCAATTCCAAGTGCCAGCCGTACGCTATGATCCACGCCCAATGTCTCCAGGTGCACGTGACCCTTCATTGTCCGCAGGAAGAGTTCAGGGCCACAGATAAGTGCCATGATCTTAAAAAGGTGATATCCGGATGCGCCGTCAAGCTAAACCTGGAGCCAGTAGCCAACAAGGATTTTACGGTGAGCGAGAAGAGCGCAGGAGGCGGCTGGCTAATCTCTGGCGAACTTTGGATCGTCCTTATGGGGCTGCTCGGTCTGATTCTGTGCCATTTGTAGCGTCTGGTTTTGCTAATCGTTTGGGTGATTGCATTTGCTAACTGCCCCAATTCAGACAGTATAATTGAAAGTGTCTGAGCGTAGACGAGCCCCCAAATTGCAAAATTGTTGGACTTTGGACCAGCTTGGAGCTGGGAGCTGGCCAACAACCAATCACGATGACAGACCGATTCGATTCACGCGACCGCTGTTTAAACTGTTTGCGTTGTGCTCGATTTATTAGCCCTCGAAAGTGTTAGATATAAATTAAGCGGTTACTCCTGACATTGCCTCAGACTGACTGAAATGATGACCAGGTCTATAGCTCTTCTGATCTGCTCCTGTCTGCTGGCCGTGGTGGCGGGTATACCCCTGGATGTGGACTGCAGCCGTCGTCAGGATGTGAATGTAAGTGAAGCCTAATCCCTCGAATTTGGATATTTCTAATTCGGTATTTTGTTTTCTAGACTGTGAGGGGCTGTTGCGCCTATCCAAATCTAAACTTTGATCAGTTTAGAAAACAATGTGGAAAATATATGCCAGTTGGCTCTCCAAAAGTATCTGCCGTAAGTAAAGGATATAAAGCTCTAGTCCAGTAAAGGATTATAACTCTCAAATACCCGCAGTGTTTATATGAATGCATTTTCAATGCCACTAATGTTTTGGATGGCTGGGAAGTAAATCCCAGCAACACTCGCAGTATGCTGGAGCGTCTGTTGGGCAACAATCAGGACTTCCTGGAGGCTTATGTGGAGGGCATGCTCAACTGCTCGGATACTGTGCAAGCCATGATGAAGAACCGAAGGTCCCGATATCCGAATGCCTCCGAATGCAGCCCGGTGGCTGTTTACTTTGCCATCTGTACCCAAAAGTACGTCTTCAACCACTGTCCCTCGTCCAGCTGGGCGGGAACAGAAGCGTGTGAGACGGCTCGGTTGCAGAGCCTGAATTGTCCAAATGCCCAATTGTCACGTGGTGTTGGTCTCAAAAAGCAGTGACTTTCGGCCAGAGTAATAAACCTTAAATGAGCATAGCATATTTATAGCATTATGGGGCGCACTAAATGGGGCAAGCTAAAATAAATTTATATAAAATACACACATTTCCGGCTTGGGTTCTATATATGAGACTTGTCCATCTAGAATTGCAGCAAAAATGTCAGACCTTTCGACTTTGCTGTTTCTCCTGATAATGCCAGCTTTGCTGTCTGCCGAGCCAGACTGTTCCCAAAGACCAGATGTAACTGTGAGTACTACCATATCATGAATCCAAAATATATAACAAATAGCGCATCTACTAGTCCCTCAAAAACTGCTGCAGACTTCCCTATCTAAACTTGACTAGCTACAATTCCCAATGCGGCCAGTATTTGGTAAATGGGGCGCACATAACACCTGTAAGTTGGACTTTAAACAGACTAAAAACCTATTACTTATTTGGAGAACTCTGAATGTTTTCAGTGTAGTTTTGAATGCATTTTTACAGCAGCCAAGGTCCTGAATGGCACCAGTTTGGTGGTGGAGAATGTGGAAAAAATGCTACTCCCCATGTTGGACTCCCAGGAATTCGTTCAGATCTACGTTGACGGCTTCAAGTACTGTTCTGGCCAAGAGCAGGCCATGGTCAAGAGCCTCAAGCGACGCCGTATGCCCACCGTTGGCAAGTGCTCCTCGATGGCGGTAATGTATGGCCTGTGTTCCCATCGTTACGTCTACAGGAACTGCCCGGACAGTGTCTGGAGTAAGAGCTCGGGCTGCAATGATGCCCGGGAATTCAGCATCCACTGCGAGGACAAACTGACCGGTTAATTATACTTTTGTGAGAATGGAGAAATAAAAGAAAGAATATTTCCAGCTGCTTTGATCACTTTCTGTGATGAGATTTATTGAGTTAATTGAATAGGACATCCCGCCAGGTGGGTCTTTCCCGATAGCTGAAGAGTTCTGGACCGGCAGAGCAGCCCAGTTCATGGTTCATGGCTTCCTCTTCTTCCGCTAAGTGCAAGTTTGCTGGGGAATTAAAGAATTTCTAGGTATTATGATTTTTTATATAGAAAGTTTAAAATACACACCCAAATCCTCCAAACTTATGCCCAAACGCCTGGCGTGCTGCATGAGAGCCTTCAATAATAAACCAGTGTCAACTATGCCATCTTGCTCTAGATCTTGGAACGAGACCATCAAGTCATCCTCCGTATCCTCTCCAAAATATGATTCATCCCTCAACTCCAGCTCATTGTTACTTTGGTGGGACTAAAGCACGTTGTTGTTTAGAATTTTTCTGTAGAATCTGAAGCTCCAACTCACCTCCGGTACTACCACAAAGTCCTGAAATGCCGCCTGAACTGCCGTGCAAAACAAAATCCAGCTCACAAAGGCCAAAGGGTTCATCTTTCCTAATCGAACATCGAACTTTGACTGATCGTAAAACCCATAATGTTTGCAGAACCAGAAAGCAGAAAGCACTCCCATTTGTCATGGACAATTTGCTGGCTAATTGCAAGCAACCGGAGGTCGAATGTAAATGGTAATCAAAACAAAAAATCAAAACAAATGTATTAAGCCTAACGAATGATACTTTTACTTAAAATCATTGTTTACACTTTGCGTATATCTATTTGGGGCATCAACTGCTGGGAAGAGGAACATGGGGCAGGGGGTTGCACTGGAGGGCGAACTCCTTGGCCACATTGCAGGGGCGTTCATTCTTCCACATCTTCGAGGGGCAGTTGAGGAAAGTCTCGGCATTCACGCAGCTGTAGAGCATTCCGGCGAAAGGAGAACAGCCATGCGGCAGGACCTTGTAGGACTCAATATTGGCCGACCTCATGTGGCCTTTGACTTAAAGGGGGGAAGCATAATAGAGACTTATCTAAGGTTGCCATGAGTTATGTGTACTCACTGTTGCCCAGACAAGACTCAAAGGAGCGCACTATGTAGGAAACAATGTCCTGGTCCTTTCGATGAACATGCTGCTCCAGATACTGCTTAACCCTCTCCATTTTGATTTTGCCATTGACCATGGCTCCGGTTTCCCGATAAATACAATCAGGATAACACTGAAAAAAGGATTATGTAGAGTTATCCATAATATAGTATTTAATTACTTACCAAATGTGCGTAGCTGGGATACTTGGAGTTGGCTGACTTGAGGCCACTAACATATTTGTGGCACTTTTGCGGCACATCCCCCATATCCAGTTCCGGGGTGCGACAGCATGTGTTAATGTCCTGCAAGGTTACCTCTTATCATAAAGCCTTATCCTTTCTCATCCTTTACTCACGTAGTTGCTGAAACTCGGCGGGGCCGAGCAGTTAAAGGCCGCCTGGGAACTTTCCAGCATCGCCACAAAAAGCGCCAAAATAATTATCGATTTACGCATATCTATGATTAAATGATTAATCTCTGCGCGTTGCTTTGGTGCCGAAAAAAGAATAAAATTTTTCAAGCCCTCCGTCAGGGGCTTTATATAGCCGGTTGGAATGGTCTAGCCCGTTTTTAATGAGCCTGTAATGAAATCGGGTCGTTTGCTTTTTAGTTTGTTGGTTGAATGCTTCGCCCGAAGGCTGAAGAGCAAACATCGCCAGCCAGCGACTCGCCAAAGGTTGACTGACTGATGACTCGATGGACTCCACTCCATGCTCACTCCCATGATTCCACTCGATTGGGGGAGCTCGTGCGTGACAAAAATTGGGGAAATACCAGAATCCGGCGCAAATTGGGCAAAAATAATATGGATTGCGGATTAAATAGGGGCTGAGTCAGCTATCAGTGTCTGTGAATAATCCTTTTTTCTATTCGGTTACTGTCTAATTAGTGTGGCGTGTAATTAATGAGAATTCTGAAAGATGAGACAAGACCTCCTTCCACTTCCCACTCTCCCAGGAGCTGAGGTGTTGAAGATGCCAGCTAAGTAATTGTTGAGTGGTCTTGTCTACACACCAAAGCCCACTTTGATGCGTGGGTGCACTGAGACAAACACACACAAAGTGGATATAAATTCTACTTTTTTTATAAGCTTGAGAAGCGTCTTGTTCTCATGAAGCCATTACTTTCAGTGTAAATGTGCGCTGGTGAGATTCCCCTTTGCCTGTTCATTGTGCCTTCTGCTCAGTGATTTCCTTATGTTCTTAACCACTAAGCTGATGGCTTTTTGGAGCATAAAGCGATTTTACCTGGCAAAGGTGCGCTTAAACGCCACAATAGTGAATTATTTAAATGGAACAATGCCACGAAAACACACTGTTTAATGAGCGAAAATTTCCATGGAAATGTTCAACTTTTCAATTTCCTTGTACAAATCCATCTAATTAGAAAAATCGAAACAATGAAACCATATTTCCTCTACGGAATTGAAAAACTTTGAGTGGATTTTTCAGATAAGCGAACGTGCGGCAAACACATGAGCCCTGGGATGAATAAATCTCATCAAACGATTGCGACATTAAATTTGCATGCGACAGGACCAAAAGCTTTAATGCGTGAAGGATATACTGAAGCAATCGTGAGGCAGAAAATAAGGGAAAATGGATTCTTATTAAATAATCATAATACCTTGCCCAAAATTAGGAATACTTTCCTCAATGGCTTTTCAATGTTAGTAAACTTTTATTGAAGATTTATATTTATATAAATACATTTTTTTTAAAGGTTTTTAAAGCTGATACATTAACAATTTAAATACTGCGGAGCTTGTGCTTCCTATATGATATCTTCTACGAGCGCAGTGCAGCTTCTAAATAATCTACAGCTTTGGGCAGGGGTTTTTGTTTCAGTGGGACATCACAAGGGGGGAAAACCTCAGTTTTCACAGAAATGCCGAAAAAATTGGACTAAAGTTATACGTTTTTTTTTTTGAAAAAAATTAGACCTTTTGAATCACTTTTTAGTGAATATTTCAACTAATTCGCAACCGATTCAAAAACGGAATACCATTCATGAATCAGGGTTCTAGTCGCCTCCAATCTGCATTAAAATATCATAGATGTCGAAAAATACAATTTTTGACCTATTTTTGGCCAAATTTATGATGTTACCCCTTTGGAAAATTGCAAAAAATGGGTCAAAATTTTTTTTCCCAGATATTGATTAAAAAAGATGCTGCAAAAAGATCTAAGGTTGGGAATGTATAACATTTGTGGATCTGCCAATTATTAGTCGAGCTATAAATATTTTTCCTCCCAAAAATGCCAAAAAATTGAATAAAGTTTTAAATATTTTTTTTAGAAAAAAATTAGACCTTTTGAGTCACTTTTTAGTGAATATTTCAACTAATTTGCAACCGATTCAAAAACGGAATACCATTCATGAATCAGATTTCTAGTCGCCTCCAATCTGCATTAAAATATCATAGATGTCGAAAAATACAATTTTTGACCTATTTTTGGCCAAAATTATGATGTTACCCCTTTGGAAAATTGCAAAAAATGGGTCAAAATTTGTTGTCCCAGATTTTGATTGAAAAAGATGCTGCAAGAAGATCTAAGATCGGGAAGGTATAACATTTGTGGATCTGCCAATTATTAGTCGAGTTATGAATATTTTTCCACCCAAAAATGCCAAAAAATTAAAAAAAGTTTTAAATATATTTTTAAAAAAAAAATTAGACTTTTTGAGTCACGTTTTAGTGAATATTTCAACTAATTCGCAGCCGATTCAAAAACGGAATACCATTCATGAATCAGGGTTCTATTCGCCTCCAATCTGCATTAAAATATCATAGATGTCGAAAAATACAATTTTTGACCTCTTTTTGGCCAAAATTATGATGTTACCCCTTTGGAAAATTGCAAAAAATGGGTCAACATTTTTTTTCCCAGATTTTGATTGAAAAAGATGCTGCAAGAAGATCTAAGATTGGGAATGTATAACATTTGTGGATCTGCCAATTATTAGTCGAGCTATAAATATTTTTCCTCCCAAAAATGCCAAAAAATTGAATAAAGTTTTAAATATTTTTTTTAGAAAAAAATTAGACCTTTTGAGTCACTTTTTAGTGAATATTTCAACTAATTTGCAACCGATTCAAAAACGGAATACCATTCATGAATCAGATTTCTAGTCGCCTCCAATCTGCATTAAAATATCATAGATGTCGAAAAATACAATTTTTGACCTATTTTTGGCCAAAATTATGATGTTACCCCTTTGGAAAATTGCAAAAAATGGGTCAAAATTTTTTGTCCCAGATTTTGATTGAAAAAGATGCTGCAAGAAGGTCTAAGATCGGGAAGGTATAACATTTGTGGATCTGCCAATTATTAGTCGAGTTATGAATATTTTTCCACCCAAAAATGCCAAAAAATTAAAAAAAGTTTTAAATATATTTAAAAAAAAAAAATTAGACTTTTTGAGTCACGTTTTAGTGAATATTTCAACTAATTCGCAGCCGATTCAAAAACGGAATACCATTCATGAATCAGGGTTCTAGTCGCCTCCAATCTGAATTAAAATATCATAGATGCCGAAAAATAAAATTTTTGTCTTATTTTTGGCCAAATTTATGATTTTACCCCTTTGGAAAATTGCAAAAAATGGGTCAAAATTTTTTTTCCCAGATTTTGATTGAAAAAGATGCTGCAAGAAGATCTAAGATTGGGAATGTATAACATTTGTGGATCTGCCAAGTATTAGGCGAGTTATGAATATTTTTCCACCCAAAAATGCCAAAAAATTGAAAAAATTTGTAAATATTTTTTTTAGAAAAAAATTAGACCTTTTGAATCACTTTTTAGTGAATATTTCAACTAATTCGCAACCGATTGAAAAACGGAATACCATTCATGAATCAGGGTTCCAGTCGCCTCCAATCTGCATTAAAATATCATAAATGTCGAAAAATACAATTTTTGGAAAATTTTCTTTGGAAAATTGCAAAAAATGGGTCAAAATTTTTTTTCCCAGATTTTGATTGAAAAAGATGCTGCAAGAAGATCTAAGATTGGGAATGTATAACATTTGTGGATCTGCCAATTATTAGTCGAGCTATGAATACTTTTCCACCCAAAAATGCCAAAAAATTGAAAAAAAAAAGTTTTACGTATTTTTTTGGAAAAACCCCTTTTGAAAACCTCTTTGGAAAATGGAAAAAAATGGGTCAAAATTTTTTGTCCCAGATTTTGATTGAAAAAGATGCTGCAAGAAGATCTAAGATCGGGAAGGTATAATATTTATGGATAGGACCAGTATTAGCAAAGTTATGTCTCATTTTCTGAAATAAATCGAGGCCTTTTCTTAAATGAGATCGTTTCATAAATTACCCATACGCTCCCTGTGTCTTTGGTGTGATTTCCTCGACGGAATTGAAAAACTTTAAGTGTATTTGTCAGATAAGCGAACGTGCGGCAAATACATGGGCTCTGGGAGGAATGGAATTCATGAAACGCTTGTGACATTAAATTTGCATGCGACAGGACGAAACGCTTTAATGCGTCCAGGGCAACAGGATATACTGGAGAAACCGAGAGGACGAGAATAAGAGATACCCTTGGAGAAAGTGAGAAAAAGTGAATGAGCAAATGGGGGCGGAACACAATACAGGACAACGAACATGTCTTTGCTTCTGGCATGGAGAGAAAGCATTTTTAAATTGGAATTTAAATGCTTTTGAGTGGCAGTTGACATTAGCATTTGTTTGAAAATCAAACAGTTTGGATAAGGATGTCGCCACCCGGTCGGTCGGCCCCTCTCCACAATTTCCACACCATTCCCCTGCTAGGATGGGGGTGCTCCCTCCAAGTAAAAAGCCACCCTTCAGCCCTCATGTGTCACACACATTCCAGCAGCCAAAAGCATCCGTCTAAATGTTTATCATTGTAATATTAAATTTAGCAGACGCCGGAAAATAAAAATGTTGCTTTTGTTTCATTCTACAATTTAATTTAGGCCCAAATTTTTTCCAGAAACCATTACCCCAAGGATATACCTATGTATGTATGAGTATATGTATGATATTTCAATAAATGTCAGCCAGGCTTCCGGCTTCAGGGCCACTTGAGTTTAATTTGATTTCGACAGGTGAGAGAGCCTCTCCTGACAGAGTCCTGGCCTAACCTGGCCTGGCTGTCTCATACACATTTCAAAACTCGCAATTAAATCAGCTTGCGACTTCAAAGGATACACAGAATCATGGCTGCCTAGCCCTTTTACGCATTTCCGGCCTAAGCAAATAAGGCTCGAGCCGAGCTGTGCCAGCCAAATGCCGAGCAAACATTCGGCCCGTCAAATATTTGCATAAATCAAATGGGCAGATTTTCAGGCATTAGAAGTGCATTCGAATCCTCGAACATCCCTTCGTCCCGCAGGAGTTCCACCTGTTGCCTGGCCCATCAGAAAAAGCTCCACACCACACAGGATGTGGAACGCAGCTTTGTGAGCTTTCGAGGATGTGGAAGCCAAAATTGGCGCCTTTTGGTAAGAACTCAGGGCTTGTTAAGACGCTTCCTTCGGGTTTCCTGTCAGTTATCAGCGGGAAGTTAACGAGAGCGGTTCGTGGCTGTACAAAAATGTAATTTATTAAACGGTTGAAGTGGAAATTGAAATTTAAAAATATTCAAAGTGAAAAGAAGAAATAGAAAAATATATTATTTTCAAAAATTTTTGAAGAGTTGTTCAGTTAAAGTTTAGCCTAAAGAAAAAGTTCCAGAGCTCAAAAGGTTTATTAAAAAAAGTGTTTAGTGCCTGTTTTCCTGTATCTCCTACAGTGTCGCTATAACAAATAATCCTGCATAAAAAAATACGATTATAAATGTGAACACAATAAAGTTTTGTGTCAATAACCAAGGCAACTTGGCCAAAAGGACCAAGCAGCATATATGCTGGCGAAAAACAACTCGGAACATTATCATTTGGAAGCTTAGAAGGCGTTAAACGCATTTAAGCCGGGTCAAGTAAGTGGCTGAGAGGACAAAGGACCTCGTTTGGCCTGCGGTCAGTTGAAAAGTCCCGTTGGAGAAACGCAATCACTAAGAAATCCCAAGGATATCAACCAACAGGGAGTGGAGAAAGAAATCCATTTAAACGATACGGGCTTAGTTAGTGGAAAAGGTATGCATTTCGAGACCGAAAAAGGGAGGGGCAGGCCAACAAATTGTGGTTAATTAAAATGCCAGGACTAACACAGATACACACGCACGCAAACACACACACACTCATATATAGAGGGCGAACAATGCAATCTGTTACAAAAAGCGAGAGTTTTGCGGCTAAAAGAGTTGAGAAGATGTGGTGGTTCGGCATTGTTTTCCTGGGTGTTTGCAATATCGATTGGAAAAATTCCAAAACAGGTATTCCATCAGGCCATAGGGCCATCGTACAACCCATTCGATCCACTTAAGCCCCCAATACAATACAATCCGATAAACCGGAAGGACTTGTTGCCCCGGAGTTTATGGACTTCCGTCGACGAGCTGCGTAAATCTCTGGCATTTCGGCAACTTGTAATGCATTAAACCAAATTTTTATTGAGCCAATAAATAACAGATTTGGCGCACAGGTTGGTGGCCCCCTTGTTTGCCTTTTGTGGGTGATTTTTATGGATTTATGTATGTGTGCTAGCTTTTATCTCGGCCAGTTGAGATCCCTCACGTAGAGCTAAGGATACAATAATTCGTGAGATACAACTGCAGTCGAAGGGGGGGCGGGCAGCTTTTCTTCTTGCACGTGCCACTCACAATGAGCGGAAAGCCGTTAAAGGCCACACAATAAAACTCAACACTTGTTGGCAATCGAGTGTCCTGCCTTCCCCATACTCAGAATGCTTATGTGCTGACTTAGACATCGGAAGTGGCCATCGGATCGGAGTCAGCCGGAAGCGGAAATGGCAAAGTCAGTCCGTGCCTGAAAATTATGACGTTTGCTGGTCTAGACTTCCACAGGAATACAAAATAAAAGCAAATTCCCAAGCCTACAATCAAAGACCCGCTGTAGCTAATAAAATGTTTTCCCGGTTTCTTTGTTCTTCCGCACCAGGACGAACAGGATAAACATATTATGTGTATGCAGTGCAAGTTGTTTCGCACTCTCGGATCCAATACAATGTTTCCTCGCTTAAATGAGCAATTTAATTACGAAACTTTGTTCGCTCGGCTCTCAAGGCTGCTTTCAGTCATGTTGCGAGTACGTTATGTTTCTGGTCTCTGGTGTGGCATGTTTATAAATTTTTAAATGCCCCTGTTTTTAGTCTTTTACTGCCAGTGCTTATGCATATAAAATTTAATGACATACTTTAATGAGGACCGAAAATATCCATATCCCTGTACTCGTCCGATGTACTTCTTAAAAGCAAAAGGAAAGGGCGCCTAATGGCTTGAAAAGAAAAATCGGGTACCAAGTGCTAACTATTCGTACTGTTATTATATTTTGCAATCCTCTAAAGAAATCCCCCACAAACATTTATAAGCATTATAGAAACCGGAAATTGCAAAAGCTCTCACATAAGCAAAAAAAAGAAAGTACAGGGCCCGCAAGGATAGCCCGGACGGTTCCTATTCCAATTCGTATTTTTTTGCACATTTCTGTCGCCTTTGGCAAATCCATTGTGTGCAATCGTTCGAGATTAGATACAATCTCCTATAATAGCATGTGAAAGGGAGCTGGGAACAGGGCCTGGGATGGAATACAGTGCGAATGGGATGAGTGCATTTGATTTGTCCAACGCCAGACCGCTGCTTTGAGTCCCGACTGTCTAGGCCTATTTCTTTTGCTGGCTGTGATATTTGCCGTAATGGGCCTTTTTATGCCAAACAACCAGACCGGCTAGGACCGGCCCAGACGGCCTCCTGCCTGGCCAATCGTGGAATATGTTTTGCCAGCTTTTTTCTCTTTATTTTATTTTTGACACATTCATCAAGTTGACTGGCCATAAATGAGATTTGGTCAGAACGGCCGGAGCGAGCTGTCGGAATGAATTTGCATTTAGCCACCAATCTGAGATGTGTCCGTTCTTGGCTTACTGGCTGTCTGCTGCCTGTTGGCTGCCTGCGGTTTTAAATTGAAATCAAATATGCAATTAGCAGTTATGACCATAATTTAGGCTCCTCAACTGACTTGCTAATTTTCGGCCGACATTATTTATGAGGTAATTAGAGACGGGTTCGACTTTTGTTTCACTTTTTTCCCTTTTTGCGCCGATACGTTTTCAACATTTTTAACTTAAATTGGGGTTTCTCGTGCCATCCAAAGGCGTTCGGGCAGGCAACAGGGCGTATGTGTAATAAGTTACGTTGGCAAACTCCGGCCGAAAGGACGTGAAGGCATGTGCGGCAGAGTAATAAGCAAGTTGCCTTTTGTTTTATGAACATGCATTCTTCTAATTTACGATTCAGCCACCATAACAACAGAAAACACAGAAAGGAGCAACAATAAGCAGGCACAGTGGGTGGCAGGAGTAAAGCTCCAGGGACTCCCAGAGGCGGGATTTTCAATTTGCCGCTGGGCTTAATATTTCAGGAATTGTGGTCTTGTCTGTGGAATATTTGTTCCAATTAGAAATTCGCTAGAGGTGGCCTGGCTAAGAAAATATGAGATTTCTTAGGTACTAATTGACTTGAGATGCATTGGTATAAGGACCTTAACCTCAACCACTTCCGCCTTGTTTTTAAAGCTGACTTTCACCACACACTGTGGGTGAAGCCGAGAACCATCTACATATTTATTATCGCGTGGTGTGTGTACTTTTGCCACCCACGTCCCCTTTTATGTCTTGCATTAATGTAACGATGCATCATTTATGCCATTTATTATCAGAGTATAAATGCGAGATTCCTGCTCAGAAGAGCCCCCATCCAAAAAGCAGAAACCAGAAACCAGAACAAAACCAAGAAAACCACATTCTCTGGCAGGAAGTTAGCGCTTCTAATTTCTATCACCATCAACCTTGACTTGCTTTTTATGGCAGCATATCAGCACCGAAAATAAGGAGCAAAGGGTCGCCATCATCCCCTCTGATCTGCTGACTCTTTGATGGCAAAACTAATGAATTTTTATGGCACTGGGCCTCTGCATTTATTTATTTATTTATCTATCCAGCCTGTGTGTGTTTTCTATGGAAATAGCGTCAACTTAAAGCTCACTCCTCGCCCTGAATTTATGGCCACGACGATGTGGGGCGTGGCCCGGACTGCGGAGCCGGTGAAACATGTCCAATGCAATTAACACACACAGGCCAAAAGCCGCAGGCTTTGGTGAATGGGCCGGGGCGTGGCAGGAGGCAAGAGAAGGGTTGCCAATTGAACTTTGCCCGTCAGCTTTGTTCGTGCCAACCACCGGGGAATCCCCTAACAATCGAGGGAATTTTAACTTTTCCATAGAAAAGAAAGAACAATTTAGGGGAGGAAATGGAATACTGAAAGTTAGAAACTGTTGCTCTGGCTGAACATTAAAACAGAAAATTGATACAACAAGAAAGTTACAAACATTAATTTGCATTTCCCAATAAATTACAACTTCTAATAAATTTCTCTAGATGCTGAACAACATCATGGTACAGAATGAGTGACCACGACCACATCGATTCGGTTAATGGCAGCGGGAGTGGGGTGGATCCCCTCCTGGCACTTCACAACCTGGAGGGCATCAGTGACAGCGTGGAGCTGCAGTGCCTGGTGCAGGAGCACATCGAGGCCTCCACCTACGGCAACAATAGCGACCACTGTCTCACCCAGTTTGACTCCATCCTATGCTGGCCGAGGACGGCCCGTGGAACTCTAGCCGTACTCCAGTGCATGGACGAGCTGCAGGGGATTCATTATGACAGCACCAGTGAGTAGAGCCACTATAAACCTCAACCAGCCATTAGGAGATCTTTTGACCCAGTTTATAAAGTTTAAAAGAGAACATTTTGCGGCTGAAGCGGGGAGTTTTTTTTTTTACCTTTAATAGCAGAGCTTTGAAAGTTGTAATACAACCCATATTATTATTCATTCCCCTCGGCAACGTTTAGAAAACGCCACTCGATTCTGCCACGCCAACGGGACATGGGAGAAGTACACCAACTACGATGCCTGCGCCCACCTACCGGAGCCGGCGACAGTGGACGAGTTCGAGGTCATCGTGGAGCTGCCCACCATTATCTACTATATCGGGTATGCCATCAGCCTGGTGTCTCTTACGCTGGCGCTGATTGTTTTCGCCTACTTCAAGTAAGTTGACCTCTGGCCTCTGTACTCTGACCAGCCTGGCATTTATGTATTTTTACCCCAAACCACCTCCTTCTCCGCCTCCCTGCGTGTTCTATATTTTATTCCGTCCCACAGGGAGTTACGTTGCCTTCGCAACACCATTCACGCCAATTTGTTCTTCACGTACATCATGTCGGCCTTGTTCTGGATACTCTTGTTATCTGTTCAGGTGGGTGTCTCTCCGATGTCCTGCGTAGTCCCTTAATTATAATCAATATGTGGGGATAAATATTTTAAATACCTTTCGCAGATCTCCATCCGAAGTGGACTGGGCACTTGTATCGCCCTGGTCACGCTTTTTCACTTCTTCACGCTGACGAACTTCTTTTGGATGTTGGTCGAGGGCTTGTACCTATACATGCTGGTGGTCAAGACCTTCTCGGGGGATAATCTGCGATTCAATATATATGCCTCCATAGGCTGGGGTAAGTTTACTCATCCCTCCCACCCTTATGGCCAAGCCAATTAAGTCTCTCCCGGCCCAACAGGTGGTCCGGCCTTTTTCGTTGTCACCTGGGCGGTGGCCAAGAGTCTCACGGTTACCTACAGTAGCACCAAAAACGTGAGTTTACCTTTGGGATTTGACCACTCCCTCCCTAAACTGAGCTCCCCTTTTGATAGTATGACATCAGCTGCCCCTGGATGGAGGAGACCCATGTGGATTGGATATTCCAAGGTCCTGTCTGTGCGGTGCTAATCATTAATCTCACCTTCCTGCTGCGAATCATGTGGGTGAGTACATGAAAAGAAATGAAAACAGAGCCAATAAACGGATAGACAGCTTCTGGTTCCTATTTTTCCAAGTGTGGCAAGTTCGGGGGGTAATCATCTGCAATCATCTTACAGGTTCTCATTACCAAACTGCGCTCGGCCAACACAGTAGAGACCCGCCAGTACAGGAAGGCGGCCAAGGCTCTACTGGTGCTCATCCCCCTGTTCGGCATCACCTACCTGGTGGTCCTGGCAGGACCTTCCGAGTCTGGTCTAATGGGTCACATGTTTGCCGTTCTGCGGGCCGTTCTCCTCAGCACACAGGTGGGTCTCGTCCTTCCTTTTAATCACCCCCTCTGACTAGGAATGTGTGCACTTTCCCAGGGCTTCTCGGTGTCGCTGTTTTACTGTTTCCTCAACTCGGAGGTGCGGAATGCTCTAAGACACCACCTCTCCACGTGGCGGGACACGCGAAACATCCAGCTGAACCAAAACCGACGGTGGGTGTGCGGCAGAAGCTTTATTTTTAAGATACTAAAATAAAATATTAACTTTTAGTTACACCACGAAAAGTTTCAACAAGGGCGGTGGCTCCCCTCGTGCCGAAAGCATGCGGTAAGTTTCCTTCCAAAAAAGGATAATCACAGTGGGCAGAAGTGTCGGGATTAGTTGACCGGCGTTTACTTTTCAGGCCACTAACCAGTTACTACGGACGCGGCAAGCGGGAGTCGTGCGTAAGCTCGGCAACCACCACAACGCTGGTGGGTCAGCACGCCCCGCTCACCCTGCACCGCGGCTCCACCAACGCACTGCACACAATGCCCCACACTCTGGCGGGGAACGCCATGGGCTCCGGCAGCACTCTGAGCGTCATGCCGCGGGCCATCAGCCCTCTGATGAGGGTAAGTTTGAGGACATAACTCCTTATCTACTATTATGATTATAAAAATTCCAGCAAGGACTGGAGGAGAACTCGGTGTAAACGATTTTAGCCAGGCAACTGCATCTTAAGAGACTGAACTTTCATTGAATTCCATTTCCAAGTCGGAGATCTGCGAGTGCGCTTAGTTTAGTTAGTAGGAGACCTAAGTGAGAAGGACGAAGGACGATGAAAGGACGCAACCAAGTACCAAGCAGAGCAACCACAAACCAAAAACCAACCTAAGCTAAGTCAATCGTTTTAAACTGTTAAATGTCGTCTATTGTGAAAAGCTGAGAGCCCTTCCCCTAACAAATAATATAAAATAAGATCCTTTACGCTAAATGTATATCTCAGAATGTAACTCAATGTGCAAATGAAATCAACAAAATCTCTGTATGGATAGCAAATCTGAGCATCTAAATAAATGGTCTATTTACTTCGGTGTATTTGATGTGATTTTTATTGATGGCGGGACGTATGATGGCCTGTAACTTGAGTGCTTCGCCTGTTGTGGGGCTTATATGTATTCAATGAGTTTCTGGGAATTCCAAGCACACGTCCAAGCGATAAAGTTGGGCCAGGACTGGCCAGAAAGCTGTTGGGGGATGTGTTATAGCTGCAAAATATGAAAAAAGTTGACACAGCAAACAACTTTAGTTCCTCGTAGCTCGCCTTGCAAAGTATGCAACAGTTTTGTAAAACCAACAACTTCAAAAATCTTGGCACGATAATCTAAGTAGGAAAAGTTCTCTGGGCCAAAAAGTTTGCATCAAAACAAATATTTCACAAAGCCGACAGGATACGAACATATGTGTGCTTTCTGAGAAAAGTTGGAAATTAAGCTAACTCTTCCTGTCGGAGATGCTTTTTAAATTTAAATTTAAAAACCAACTCGCTCTAGCACCTTTTGCGTTTAACGCAATTAAATGTATAATTAATAGACATTTGGACTGATGGTGAAAAATCAGCTCATGGCCCAAACCTAATTACTCACTAATTGGACCTGAGTGAGGCAAACACTGCGCAGTGTAATGAGTTAATTGACCCTGGAAGGACTGCGAAAGGATCTCCACCCAACCACTTACTCAAGCGCCGCCTTAAAGGTCGACTTTGGGTTAACTTAGCATCTAAATAGCCCCGGCACTTAACATTTTCGACAAGAGTCCCATGGAAATATTAAGCTTAAAATGTTGCACATATTTCAGCGTTCTCAGAATGCATAAAAAGAGAGTCCCAAAATGCTCATAAATGTTGCATGAAAAGCGGCCATGCAAGTGCAGATAAAACTACATGGTTATACTACTGCTGGTATTTTTGATACCCTTTAATTATATTAAAGAATTAAAAAAAACATAGTTATATGACTTCTTAAACTAATTGGAAAGTTAAAAACCTATCTTATATTATTTTTAAAAATATCATAAGTTTAAATGGAAGTCCTGTACTCCCCAATGATTACCTATCATAAAAACTCAAAAGCTAGGGGCTCACAAAAGCGGGAGCTACGAAAAAAAGCAAGTTTAGAGGCAAATACAAATGTAAATATTCCACTCCAACTACTTGTTTCGTTTGTGGAGATGCACACAATAAAAATAAAATAGAAATGAATTTTTAATGTGCACGAAATATGCACAGAATGTTTGTCCTTCTCTTCATTTGATATGCGGAGATTTCTTTCTTTCCCAGTTTTCAGTTCTCAGTACTCAGTCCTTGTTTCAGGATTCGTGTTGTTCCTTCTTTTTTTTTCTGAATTATATATTCAACCGCAGGAAGTGGCGATTGTGGTGGCCGTGTTTCCGTTCTTGGCCTAATTGAAATGCCCGATGTGCTGCGATAATAAAAGAAACAAGTTTAAAGGACTTTAACGGGAATACAAACAATGCAAACAAACTCTTAAGGAAAGTTGTGTCTAATGTGTGTGCAATCACACACAACAATTTGTGCGTGGTGATGTGTGGGTGTGGGTGTGAAAAGTCCTTCCCCGTTTATTGCTGAGAACTTTTGAACTTCCGTCAACACATATGCGTCGTGTGCAGCTGTCGCCTTGAAGATCCTTTAGTTGCCAGCAAGCGACAAGGACACTTTGCCAGCACCTGAAGGACCCAGATAAGAGAGAAGAGGGGGTCGTTGTGTACGACGAGGCGCCACAAAAATGCCAACGCAATTGTAGCATTTTAATTAACCAAATTGTGCGCATAAAATGGCAACTTCAGCAACACCATCTCCATTTCTACTTCCACTTTTAACATTTTAGCCATGGCCCAGAAAGTGGCAACGGAACTCAATTAAAAGTCGTTTATACTTTCTACTATACGTGAAATCTTTTCAGCAAAGGGTTCGGCAGCTCTGCTTTAATTAACGCCACGTTTGCCTCAAGTGGCAAGGAATTTGGAGAACGGGGCGCCAAAAACTGAGACATTAGCAACTTGCCACCGAGTCAGCGGCCAAGCCAGAGTCGTAAAAATATTTAAATTTGTGGGCGGAAGCTCAGAAAACAAGATGAATAGAGAGGCTGTGAGGAAGGATTTCTCCAGCCGATTGTCCTTTGGGATGAGAGCTGGCTGTTTGTCTGAAGAAGAATAAAATTAGGTTTTTGGGTTAATTTATTTATGGGAAAAATATTTTGCCATGAAAGTGTACACTGTACACCAAAACATAACTGCCCTCCTTTAAACTCGTAATTACATTACTCCCACCATCGTCTAAAAATACTGTAGTCTCCTAATGAGATGGAATATAGATACTCGGATCTTTGGCAACTGAATTGTTTTGAAAATGGTTCCAGCAATTATTCAGGAATTAATAAAACATTCCTCTAAATACCGCAGTCCCTGGCAAATTTCGCCTTTTAATTAAAAGTGTGTCCGCGAAGGACCAGGCCATTCATGCCGCTTACTGATTTATGTATAGCTGCCTCTGGCTTTTAGCAAATCTCCTCAGTTATGTGTGGATATGTATTATGAATTGGGCCAGAACTTAGCGCCTAGTTGGCGGCGGGAAGCTCTTCGGCTCCCACCCTCCAAAAATCCCATAAAGTGTATTTCATCTGACGTGCCTTACGCTCGACTGGTTCTTGTGGTTACCAAAGAATTTGGCCGCAGGATACTTTGCTCGAATTGGCCACTTTTTCGCATTTTCCTCCTCATCTGCTTAGTGGCCTGCCTGTCTGCTCCTCTGCAGCTCCTTCCCCGAGGGCCGGAGCTAATTAAATATTTGCTCTCGCAGGCTTAAAGAATTCCGCTGTCATTGTTCGTTGGAACTTTGAACTTGTCCTGGCCCCGGAAAAACTGAGGGAAAGTGACAACTTAAAGCTGTCAGGAGTGGAAACTTGTACAATCCAGCCGCGTCTCCCTTTCAGCTCCTATGATGACGGTTTGAAAACAATTTCCGCGGGCTGTCAGTGTAGCGTTTTTTTATGCAAATCGAATAAGGACAGCAGCTGCTGGTAGCCCCTGGTCCTTTCAGTCTCCCCAGTGTGGCGTACATATACTTAAAGCATATATGGATTGCCAAGACATACTAATTAATGAAAAGGATTTTCTTCCACTTAGCAGCGTCGTAAAATCAATCAAAACTGAGTGCAAAGTGTTTGACATCGATGTACGCTTAATTGATTGCTTCAAGAGCAGAAATCAGCACGGGATATCAATCAAAGCCTCCGGCAAAGGACCCCATTTCCCGGGCTTTAAAGCAGATTCATTTTCGTTTTTCCGACCGTTGTTGACCGCAAAAGGTAAAGTGTGAAAATTAACGCGTTAATCGTGGGCTCGTTAAAGAATTAAGCGAAATGATGGAGGTTCATGTTTTCCTTTCTTTATCCTTCCAGCCCCATTCATCAAGGGACCGGAGTGGCATTATCCTGGAGCTCAGTGGTAATACATAAATTTAACACCTCCAGTGGATGAAAGTTTTCAATTTTCCCACACCATTTCGAGTCCCGTGGCATTGGCAATTTATTTCCATATTTGCAGCTGTTCCATTGATATTTGCATCAGCAGAAGCAGCCACAGTGTAGTTCAGGATAAAGGATACACACACGACAAGTCCTTATTCATAATTCTCCAGAGCCAAGGGGTTAAGGGGGTATCGAATTCTGCTCTGTGTGGCAAACTTTATCCAGCTGTCTGTGCAAAATGTAAAACAAATCAATAAACAGGATACCCAGACTCGGGAGTTGGCCCTGTTTTCTGGTTTATTTCGACCCCACTAATTGGCCCATAAATAATGTAAAACGGCAACAAGTCAGTGCTCGGTGTATATAAATATTTCGGTGGGCTTGCCACAACATACTTTCCATTTAAAGAGTAAGCCACACACTTCGACCTTTTCCTGTGAGGCTCTCGAATAGATACGGAGTTGGAAAGGCGAAAGTTTTAGGTTATAATTGGTTTTTTTTGTGGGAAAGTGGTAAACGCCGAACTTCGAGGGGCTGAGACCACAGGACCTCGAGACCTCGAGAGTTTCGCCAACTGAAACATGGACTTTGGCCTGCAGTTCTTGCCCAAAAACTTTTCCTCAGCTGTGGGTTTCAGGATATATATATATATAGATGTAGATGTAGATGTACACCTGCCAGAGAAAGTCTATATCTTTTATATTAGCAGATGGCCTCTCCCCTTCTTTTTCGGTTTTCGGCCCAAACCTAATTTATAAGCATCAGAGAATATAAAATGTGTTGCCTGCCTGCAATTTCCGCTTTCCAATTTGAGACAGAGTTTACCTTTTTTTGTTGTATCCTTGCGGTGGATGGACACCGAAGGACAGAAAGCAAACGGCAAACTTTTCGTTTCTTTTCACAAAAATCAACAAGTGTTGCCGCACACACAAGTTTTCTTTGGCTCTTGACACTCGGTGACAGTTTTCGGGTGGGAGGATTTAGGACCTCCACTCCTCCGCTTCCTTTTCCTGTCATGGACATTACTTTTGACTTTAACTCTGTCCCGGTGACTGATTCCTTTGTCGTCGTTTGGCGGAGGGAATCACAAAGTTTACTTTAATTGAGTTTGCCTAATTCAATGAGGGACTAATGGCGAATAATGCAATTTGAATTCTTCCTTTACAGTCGCCAGTCGCCTCCAATTAACCAATCCTTTTCGGGCTGCTCCAGACATTGAATTGCAATAATTATTTGAGCCAACACAGGTCCTGTGCTGTTGACAATAACAATACTCGAGCCTTTGTTGATATCTCTGGCCCTGAGGGTGGCCATTAGCACAGGTGTGGCCTGTCACTGACAGGTGGAGCTCCTTCGGCCCGAAAAGGTTTTCGGGATTTTGGATTTCTGTCTCTCATTCCTGTCATTGTCCTGACGTTTGAAAGCAGCCGTCCAAGGTGACGTCTGATTAATTATTCTGCTGTCTGGGAAGAGTCCCAGTGACACACTTTAGTATCCAAGCAATTGAGCACATATTTGTGCAGAAATGAAAGTGCATTCGAACGGGGTCCCTCCTACAATTAGAAGCCCTTTCGACGATAAAAATGTACACCCATATGTATCTGAAAGTTCACACATTGAATCGACTTGAGCCCGACACCTCTGGCTGCTTTTCATATTGCAATAAAAAGGTTTCCCTCCACCGCGCCCTTTCCATTCCATTTACATCAGATGGAGCTCGATTCGATTCAAAAATTCTGCCACACAGACGTTTCACATTTCCAATTACATTTTCATGGAAATTTTTATGCTGCTGGGTACTTAAGTCCAATAGTTGGGGTATATTTGGTTGCCAACTCGTATAAGACAATGAAAGTATGTATTAATTTCCAGGAACAATGTTTTTATACGCTTTAATATTCAAACTGGATTTTCAAAGTTCTGAATAAATTACCGGGTCCATTAATAATCAGACAGAACTTCCTGGAACTTTAAGTTTCCAGAACTCATTAGAAAAACATAAACAAACATCAAAAATATTTTTATTTAAATATCAGAATACTTTTAAACTGTTTAAGACAAAAGGCGGTGCATTTTAAATTCCAAGAAAAGTATTATGAAAATGTATAATAATAAATCCAATACAAAGAGGATATCCTGAACTGTTTCGTTCTTTTTTCCTTGAAATCGGAATCACGGCATATGCAAGGAAAATATTTAAATAAAATTTATTGAACATCTAGCAGGTCTTTCTCTCTCTATCTTATCAACTTTGCATTAATTTTTTCTCCGGAAAAAATGCTTTCATCTTCTGTTTTTGATGGGATTATGTGGCTGCTGCGTATCGGACTTCCGGTGTTGTGGCTTCTTCCGGTCACCTGCAGTTGGGAGCTCTACAGCGTCCCCTTGCGTCGCTTTCCCTCCGCCCGGCATCGCTTCGAAAAGCTAGGCATCCGGATGGACAGACTCCGGTTGAAATACTCCCCGGAGCCGTCGGAAGATTACGGCAACACCCGGGCGAAGTGGAATGTGAAGAGCACTACGCTGAGCAACTATCTGGACGCCCAGTACTTTGGACCCATCACCATTGGAACGCCGCCGCAGACATTTCAGGTGATATTCGATACGGGATCCTCGAACCTGTGGGTGCCATCGGCCACCTGCTCCTCTACGATGGTGGCCTGTCGGGTCCACAGTCGCTACTACGCCCAGAGATCCCGGAGCTATCGTCCGATCGGCGATCACTTTTACATCCATTATGGCAGTGGCAGCCTGGCCGGATTCCTCTCAACGGACACCGTCCGGGTGGCTGGGCTGGACATTGAGGATCAGGTATTTGCCGAGGCCACAAATATGCCGGGTCCCATTTTCTTGGCAGCCAAGTTCGACGGAATCTTCGGCCTGGGCTATAAGAGCATCTCCATGCAGCGGATCAAGCCGCCCTTTTATGCCATGATGGACCAAGGACTTATATCGAGGGCCGTGTTCAGTGTCTATCTAAACCGGCATTTGGGCAACCACGAGGAGGGTGGTGTCCTCTTTTTCGGCGGCTCCAATCCGGAGTACTACCGTGGAAACTTCACCTACGTCCCAGTGACTCGTCGCGCCTACTGGCAAGTGAAAATGGACTCGGCCTCCATCCGGAATCTGGAGCTGTGCCAGGGAGGATGCGAAGTTATCATCGACACTGGAACATCCTTTCTGGCTCTGCCCTACGATCAGGCCATCTTGATAAACAAATCCATTGGAGGAAAGCCCTCGGCTTATGGACAGTTTTCGGTGCCCTGCGATCAGGTCTCCGACCTGCCCAGAATTACATTCTCCATGGGAGGCCGGGCCTTCTTTCTGGAGGGCCACGAGTATGTCTTTCGGGACATTTTCAAGGATCAAAAAATCTGCTCATCGGCCTTTGTCGCCGTGGACCTCCCCTCCCCCCAAGGACCTCTCTGGATATTGGGCGATGTCTTCCTGGGCAAATACTATACGGAGTTCGACATGGAAAGGCATCGCATTGGCTTCGCAGATTCCAGAAGCTAAGGAGGAGGAGGAGAATCCCGAGGAATCAAGTCTACTGTTTGATGTTCGTCTTGTTATTTTAGCGACTGGTTGCCATAACACGTGGAGAAAGGCGGCAAACAAAAAGGAAACCCCATTTAAAGATTTCGTTGTTGGTTTAAGGATACCCTTTCATAAATTGGCTTTTATCCGAAATTTTCAGGACATTCTCATTGTTATCTGTTTTAATGCCTGAAAAAATAAATCCTTCCAACACGTGGTCTAACATTCACTTATTTTCTTCAGTTCGGATACATCCTTTATAGGGTATCCTTTATATTTTTGAAGCCAGCTGTTGCTATTTTTGGCTGCATGTACGTAAGGATATTTGGAACAATGTTTGCACCAGGATATGGTTCGGGGCAAAAATGGAGGAAGGCAGAAATCAAAACAGAATTTTATTATTTTATTACCTGCTCCTCCTTTTGGCTGGCTGCCATGCATTAGTCCTGTCCCTCCGCCGGATTCCATCCAGGATACTCTGTGTATGTGTGTGTTTGTGTGTGGGCGGAAGCTAATCAAAAAATCGCTTGCAGCCAGCGCAAGTCGATAGAAGGCAGGCCACAAAGGAAGATGAGTTCCTTGGGCGCACTGAGGATGTAATTGATTCCCTTGAAAAACAATGTCTCCGTTGTCTTTCAGTCCCAATTCCCCGCGCCGCTTCTGGCGGTTTTCTGAGTACTCCCTACCCCCTACTTTAATGCAAATTTTGAGCTTTAAAAAATTAAATAAATAGCTTTAACTTAACGACTGACGCGTTTCGCGTTGTCCTGCGTTGGCGATATCCTTCCGCCTTACTTTCAAGTTTTTTCAGCGACTTTTACGAGCTGTCTCAGAAATTGCATGTACCTTGTAGAGTTTACAACCCGTGGGTAGTTTGGCTTAACGAGGTGAAACATTATTAAGTTTGCAGGATAGCAGAAAACCTAAACTATGAGAAAAAATAGTTGGGGTTTTAATAAAGGCTAAAGTTTACCAAGACACTCTAATTAGTAAAGGGAAAATGTAATAGGTACTCGGCATTAAGGCATGAGGGTGTTTTAGGGTATATACCTTTCGATTCACTATATAGTCTTTATTTATATGTATTTACAAGCAATCTACAATGTATATATTTGTACGCATTCCCATTGCCTTTTTATGTGTACGCATCGTTGGCCTTTGCCGCCTTTGGCTTTTCTTCAGTCCTTCCCAGTCCTTAATTTTTGGAACATTTTTTTTTGGCGACTGTTTCTTTTTATTGTGGCCTGGCACTTTTTACATTGACCTTTCGCCTTCGTTTGCTTTGGCTGGCGGCTTACACGGCCTTTATTGATACTCTCCGGGCGACTTCTTTTTGGCCTTTTTATGGCCTCCATTCACTTTCATTCATGGCCGAGTTTCCATCTTACTTTCCGCAGTTTGCGGTTTTAAAAAACTGTTGACTTTGCTGGGCTTTGAAATATTTCTGTTTTTTCTTTTGGGGAAACCTTATTTTTTTGCTGGCAGCCTAGATAGGTGGGTGTAAGTACAGGGTATCCCCCATACCCATTGTATTTCCAGTGTTTTTCCTTTAATCCTCGAATCCTCGAACCGAACCTTCATAACTTCGTGCTCAACAAAGCAAACCGAATTCCTGGTCAGCATTAGTTGCGTAAATGTCGATAATAAATAGCCATTAGCCAGAGCAATTTTCCCGGTCTTAAGCGGATCCTGGTGGATCCTTAAAGCTGGAATTTCCATTAAACAGAACCGAACAGGGGAATGAACCCACTTGGCAGTGGAAAAGGGTTAAACGCTGGCCTTTTCAGAATGGTTTTAACGGCTGAAACGCTTGTAGCCATTTAAATGCAAAGCCGTTGGCTGACGAGCTCGTTGGCCGACTTCCCTGGCTTACGCTAGGGATATACTATATATAGTCTATATGTATATATATAGGGCCGTTACAGCAGTTGCAGCCGTTACAGCCCGGTTGTGCAATTACAAAAATGGCAACAAAAACTACTGCGGGGCGCCATGCCCTGTCAGGACTGAAGCAGAACCTCCCTCCGCCCGAGAGGAATTGCACCATTTTATTCGCTAAGTGGCATCTGAGCTTTGCACAATCAACTGGGGAGCCAAAAGGACTAACGAGTGAAAGCCAGCCACGACTTCCCCAGGGCATATCCTTTTGACAGATGTCAAAGTTGTTTGCCAACGACAAAAAAGCCGACAAAACAGGTAAAAAGCTGATTAATTTGCTTAAAAATTTGGGGAATCAACAAAAACAAGCGTTACCAATATGGAAATATTTGTAATTTAAAGAGAATTTTAATTTGGCCACTGGGGCGTTCTGGGGCAAAAAACGGCTGCATTGGTTAATAAAAAACGGATACCAGGACTTTTTTGAAGAGCACTTGACATTCATTTATTCATTTCGAGAGGTAATTGTGAGTTGATAAAGCGTGGCATCCACTCCAACGGGATTCCCATGCAGGCATTTTATTCCTGGTTGTCAGGATATCCGCCATCGAGCGATTTCCATGGCAAAGTGGAAGTGTAATTGGCCCAACAACAGGAAGTCTCGGCCGGAGTCGAAGATATTCCTTTAAGTAGTACTCAGTAGTGGCGGGTCGGTATCTTTGCTCATTTGCCCATGATGTCCTGCCGGATAGTCCTGGACCGGGGGCAGGGGAGATGCTTTGATAGCTATCAGTACAAAAGACCGTCCTCCTGCCAGTTACAGAAACTGGTCCGGCAAGGACCGGACCAGCAGAATTAAATCATTCGATAAGATAATGCCGACAATCTCGAGCCAACAGAATCGTCCCCTGCCATTACCATGCAAATTTACATCCTCGATATCCTTGGAGAAGAGGGTGTGGGCATCCTGTTTTTATTAAATTCCTCGTGGCTGGGCAATTTCCCCGGCTAATGACGCTCAAAACCGGGCTAATGAGTCAATAAGGCAATTTGCCAGACAAACCTCAGCACAGGACCTGCACGGCACAGGATCCATGGCCCAAAGTTGTTATGCCACTTAATTACTTTAATATGACGTTTTGTGTGTTGTGTTATGACAGTTGACTAGGGAGATGGGTAGGGGAGGAATGTGGCTAGGACAGGGGGCTCCAAAAGCTCTCCATGTGACCGTTTAAACTATATATCCTGTACGGACAGCCTACTGGGCCTGTCGTTTGTTTTTCCAGGCACTTTGACACTGACCACCGGACATGTGCGTGCCAGGATATGCGGTTTACGGTGCAGGACATGGACACCTGCATTGCCAATGTCAATTACTTGCCTGGCAATAGCAATTAATTTGGGGTGTGTGCTTGCAGGCTGGAAAATGAAAACAAATACCTTTGAAATGGTCGAGGCATGTTCTCCTCTTGATTGAACTCTGTAATGGAGCAAAGAAATAACACCAGATAAATGCAAGCTTAAACTATAGCAATGAAAACTAATTAGTTGGAAAAGTTAGTTGGTAGTTATAAGATTTAAGTGTTATTTGGAAGGTATGTAGATTATAATCAATGGGACTGCTACACTAGTCCAAAACCCCAAACAATCACCTCGTAATAGGTGAAATCATTGATTTATTTCAGGGAACCAATCATAATTTACCTTCTTATCCGATTCACGATTTTTTATCCGCCTATGAATGCGTTGTGAAATATTTAAAATATTCACTAAATAGTCGATAAAAAGATCAGAGCTTTGCCAAATAATAAATATCAAAACCCCAGTCCGAATTTTCTAAATTTTTTAATAGAAAAATGTTCATAACATGGCTAATACTTGGCAGATTTAAAAATGGTTTGCCTTCCCGATCTTGTAACTTCGAGAAGATTCATTTTTAATCAAAACCTGAAAATACAAATTTTAAGCCATTTTTTTCAATTTTTCAAAGGGGTAACATCATAATTTTTGCCAAAATTCGATAAAATTTTTCATCCCCCGATTTAAACGCAGATCGGGGCAGATTGAAGCCCTGATTTATAAAAGGTATTCCCTTTCCCAATCGAATTTTAAATGGCTGAGCTATAGGCTAAAGAGTGTCTGAGAAGTTTGCGTTTTGGACAAATGCCATCAACACATCTTCATAACATGGCCCGCGATACCCATCACCTTGATTAGGTCCGGAGAGCCCTAAAAGTTGATTTTTAGGATGATTCTCTAATAATCTGCATCAAAGCCTTCTCACAAAACTTTAGTTTGTGAAAGTTCTCTTTAAGACTGATCTCTTTATACGATTTTTCTGGCTAAATAAAAAGCAAGACTCACATACTCAAACTCGTATAAATGTACTTACAGATGTTGAGCGACTGGATGGAGGAGAACATAATGGCTGGGATCATTTATCAAATATCCTTTGTGTCTGCCAGGCAAACATTAATCTAAGCGCCATGTAAGTGGTGGGTTAAGCCATCAGTTCGAGGACACTAGCCGAGAGCACTAGTCGCAAACTGTTTGAACAGCCCTCGAAGACATTGAAAATGGTGCTGCCACAATATATTTTGTGTTAAGTAAGATTGCTCTTCGCTATTTTGGCCTCGATGACTCTTTCTCTCCACACGCTCCACACTCTCGAGTTCCAGGCCTGCAAAAAGTTTCGGTTTCGGTTTAGTTTCAAGGACACATACACGCACACCCAAATACCCGCATACCCGCATCCTTTAAGCCACTAATCCCTGGCAGCAGACTTTTTGGAGGACCCGTCATTTTTAACACATTACACATACGCCGTGTGGGCCGCGTCATTTTTGGCCCGGCTGTCGCGACTTAAACGTTCGATTTGGGCGAACAAACGTGACAATGTTAACGCGAAATAGGTCTCAAATAGCACAAATAAAAAAGGATCCAACGATTCTTCAGTCTTTAAGTGAAATTGAATTACCAACAATGGCACAATGAAAGGAAAATCTGCTCCGGCTTAATGGGTAATTAACTTTTGCCAATTATTTGCAGAAACGCTTCTGGAGGCCATATAATGCTTCCATTACAATGTCACTACTTAAGCGAAATCCGCTTTAAAGTGTCATAAAAAAGATGAGCTTGAGGCGCAGAAAAATATTGAAAGCCTTGTCACACCTGTAAGGACTCGCGTCGTCCTTACACGAGCTGTGACTTGCATACTAATTACGGAACGGAGTGGAGGGAGGTGGCTTAAAATGGATTTGGCCCCGAAAAAAGCGCTGAATAATAAACCTAATCAGCCGTCAAGCCGACTCTGAGCCGAGTTAGCTGGCTTATGGCCAAATTTGAAT